TGTTGTTGAGCAACTGATTCTGCATTACCAATGCGAGTAAAATCATTTGTAGGGAGTGCTCTCAGGTGGGAAGCTTAGGATATAGTTGGGAAAATGGTAGCATTTGGAGTGGGGATCGGATATCGCGGTCGCGTAGTTGGTCGGCTCAAGAAGGTTGCAGGGGGTAACATTTGTTTGCAGCCTTGGTAGCTGGCGCATAATCCTCATCGCAATCCGCACATCTAGCAGGTTAGTCTCATGTTTTAGTACGCACCTGGTGAGATGATTGTCACCGCATTCAACTCACCGAGGTACCGCAACGCAAAAACTTGCAGCGTGGCCAGGCCAATGCGATTGCTCATTAACTTCTACTTTGCATTAAAAAAGAAATGGTTATCAGTTCTAAAAGCTTTGTCGTTTAAATCTGGTTATGTGCACCAGCACTAAGGAAATAATGGAAACGGACGCTTCTTCCGTTCCCTATTCACAGTTTCCTCCGTGTGCATCCGTGTTATTCGGAGGGGTCTGAAGCCTTGCGCGCGCAGGTTCGCCTCGACGGGGAAAAATTCGAGTAAACTAAAACTTCCACGGATAACAAATTAAATGACTTGTCTACAAATAGACAATTAGTGGATGTTGTAATTCTTTCTCATTATCACCGTGATTGCGCGATATTCTCCAGCCGTTGTCGAAAATAATTTCCAAGACGAGTATCTCTTGACTCGGGATCGTTGCGTCACTGGATTGCAAAAGTTGTCCAAGAAGGGGCTACTTCTGCTTTCCACGAAGGGTGATTAGTGGGGTTCTCTCTTTCGCAGAGGGATTGTCTTAGTAGTAGACGGTCGTTCCTTACTACTAGGGGCAGTGTCAGAAGCGTTGCTCATCTCTGTCAATGGTGTCTTGGAAAGCTCTTGAGGCTTCTCCTAAGCCTTCCATGATTTTCAAGTTGTCGTTACCCCAATTGGAGCGATTACAATTTTTGTTGTAAGGGCTATGCTAATTATTATTATTAATACCACCAATATTTTTATTTTTATTACTGTATATATTATTTTTACTATTACTGTTGTTGCTAACAGTTTCTTTTAACGAAGCTATTATGAAACTACTAGGCATAAAATTCATGCTACTAATGCTTTTATTAATAATAATTGCTATTCGCGGAGAATAGTCTCGTTTTTTGTAATCTTTAGTGTTGATTTAGAATTTGTAAGGTCAAAAATACAATGTTATTGTTAGTTATACTATCAGAAAACTCCATTTCCTTTTCAGACTTATTTTTGTCCTAGTGGTATTAGTAACTTCAAGAAGTTTTGCCATTGCATAATCGAACTCTTTTCTGGGTTCTTCATTTATAGCCAGTAAGTTAGCAGGCTCGAAGCTCTTCCTCAGGAAAGGGGTTCATAATTTATTAATAGGTAAACATTTATCATTGAAAGAAAAAGAAAAAAAAATTATGAAATGAAATAAAATATATATATAAAATGTCTGTAATCTATAGTCAGTAGTTATTAATTTACGTAGTTTAAGTTTTTTTAATATATTTAAGTTTTCAATATAGCTCTATGTAATTAAGTAATATATTTATCGAATTTGTAAGTAAGAATTCAAGGTACGCAGACACATTCACAACTAGTTTTATTGTATATTTTTCGTCTTGCGCTCGGAGGACTGTTAGACTTCGCTCTCGAGAAGAAAATCATTTATCCAGGAATCGAGTTCTAGCAAGAACCCCAAGAGCTTTTAGAAGTCAAAGCGCAACTTCTTCCTCTAACTAGTTTGCAGAAATGACTTGTTTTTCTCTACAAGTTTCTGTACTTTACCGAGTTCTACTGCCTGCCATTTCGCCAATACAACAAGAAAAAGTTTTTTAGGATCAATACAAATAAAATTTTTAATATGAGGTCCACGTCTTGGTTCCTTTTTAATAAAAAAGTGGTTAATTAGAAAACAAAGAGATGTGCTGTTATTACTTATATTTTTCTAAGGAAGATCTTTATGGTCAAGCCCCTTAGTTCTTCAAGATATATTCTTCACTACCGTGAGCGGGCTATGGGGTGAGGGCAGATTTTACTTGACCCTCGTAATAGCTAACACTTGAGTAATGAATAACTGGACATATAAATGATCATCTGGTGAATCAAACTATAGTAATTTAAAAACTAATTTCGTCTTTACTTATTGTATCTTTTATTAGAAGTTTCAGGAAAAGATTAATATTGGAGCGCATAATTGTTGCAAACGTTTTCTCTGTAATGTAGTGTGTGGTAGGCTTAACTTCTAAATTTACTTTGACACTGCACACATTTTTATATAAAGAAGAAACAACTGCATATCAAAGTAGCTATATATTCTTGTGAAAATCGTTTTGTTTGCTCTTATGACTTTTTTTTAGATAAGCTCAATTCCTGAAATGTAATTGACTATAAAAACATATATGATAAGAAAAAATTTTATAGCTTTGTATATAACCTACTTTAATTTCTAAGTTTTGTGAAAATATGTTGCTATGTCCAAGGAAGTAAACTCATTAACTAAAATATAAGCCCTATAGGACTTTTTGCTTGCGAAAACGTTAATATATTTAAAGTGACTTACGTCTACTATCAGCTAATTAACTTATACTTTTTCGTTTAAATAAATTTTTTTTGGGGAATTTTTTTTTTTACTTAATTAGCACTTTGCTCTTGTCTTTGTCTTTTTGAGTCTTCGGGCCTTGTGGCGTTCCCACTCGAACTTGTTCAAAGTCTTTAGAAATTTTCAATTTCTTTAAATTAATAAATAAAGTAAAACTCAATTATATAAATAATTCGCTTAGGTAAGCGATACCGAGAGTTCTTCGTCTAAATCAACTTTTCTCTTTGCAATTTGAAGAAGTTCCTTTTCTGATATCTATATTACAGTTAAAGACAAGATAATGCACGCTAAAAAAAACTCTTTTTACATAATCCTTTAAACTGAAAACAAGTATAACCGGAGTAAAGTAATATGGACAAAGTGACTGTTTTAAGAAACTTGTCCTATTTCTACGCATACTAATATTTCCTAAGCCTTAATATTATAAGTGCAGTATTTAAATTATTGACTCAGCTTAAAAATAGAAGTTAAAATAAAATAATAGTAGAATGAAAAGATAACAATTATTATAAATACCCTTCTATTATGACGTTCCCTTTCCTCTATTTGTAATTCTTGAAATTCTTTAATACTAAAGAGGGCGAAGCCCTAGCTTGTTTTTTTGAGCTTTAGGATATATATATATATAAGAATTTACCATGAAAAGTGTGAAGGGAAGACAGCCCCATATAAAACTTCGGGTAATTCGCGAAATAAGGCTTTTATAATCCAACATAGGATAAAAAAAATTTTATTTTTAGTAAAATAAGTACTAATTTATTTTTCTTACTATTTAATATTAATACTTTTCTAGTAGAAAAAGTTTGGTAATTATATTTTCTCGCTTTTAGAAAGGAAAAATAATATAATATGATTTGTATATGCTATCCTCAGGAGGCCTTAAAATGTACAGTGAACTTTGATTACAGCGCCCACCCGGCCCACTCGTGCGCAAAGGGATGGAACTTGAATATCAGTGGGGGCGCTTATCGCACAAAAATTATGCCACATCGCCTTTTTACTTTACGACAACCCCTATAATAAAACTTGTAATTAATTACTGAAAATTAAAGGCTTTAGTAATAATAACTATTAAATACACAACACGACAAAGAACACTTTTTAAAGCTACAGCAGAGTTGATGTTAAATCAATTTTTCATTTAAAGAAAATAAGGTTTGCTTCAAACGTACTAAAACTAGGTTATGTAAAGTTTTAATCTTTTAAAACAGTAAGGAAAAAAGAGCGTGATTTGTTATTCAATTATTAAATATGATATATCTAAGCTTTATCATAAAAAAAATCCTAGTGAAAAAAATTATTAATACATCTAAAAAGTCATGTCATAAGCAGCTAAAAAAAAAATTGATACTAAAGTTGCAAAAACAAAAACTAATTATGGCTATTGTAAAACTATGAGTAATATATTCAATATTTGTGAATTTATTTTTTTTTTGAGTTTTTTTCGACCCTTTTTTGCAAGAAGATGCGGATAGAGTAGTTAAGATGTTGCAATACATATCGACTACAGTAATATTCTACAATGAAGTAATTTTGCAGACCCAGCCATAAGTAATTATATTTGAAAAATTAACTATTGCTTTACTTATACTTCCAGGCGCACAGTTTACTAAACTTATCTATATATTTCGCTTAATAAAGTCTAACCCTGGTTATAAAGGTGGAAAATTAACTAAACTAGGGGTATTCTGCCCTATCTACTGTAATAGGTATAGAGCTAATAGTTATCTAATTAGAATGAATGTAGTCGAGAGACTTTGGATAAACTAGTTCGAATCTAGTCAGTAATATCTTGTAAGTAACGATCTATCTTTAAAATAACCTTTAGGTTATGCTGGAGAAATTTATTACATGGCTGTATGAAAGTAAACCTAGTACTAAGTTTAAAGCTAAAGTCCATCGATGGTACAGCAGAAATAAACTGACAACTGACGAAAGTCAAACTCTGCCTAAAGAAATAATAGTAAAGAATAAAATGAAAACTTTGCTAACATGTTGATTATCATTTTAACCACTAATAAATAATCTTTGTTTTAACCTTATTAGGATTATGATAATTATTGTATATATGTAAATAAACTAGCTCATTATAGACTTGACTACTAAGAGGACCTGTCGGTGCACTCATTTTATGAGTCGACAGGCGATGGTTGTATACAACATCGTCCCAGAGGCGTAGCCTGTAACTGGGATCCCTTAGAGGAAAAGAGAGAATTTTGAACCTTACTTTTTTTTTCGTTCTACTTTGGTAGAATGATCTAATTATCATTTCTAGAGTGGTAGTTATTTTTGTTCTACCAAAGTATAACTTTATAGAACTTGAAATTAACTTGTTCTCGATGGTTTAGCGCTTGTGCCAACGCTTTGTATATTCTAAAATCTTACTAACTTTGGCGCTTGCCTTGCGCTACCATCCGAAACTTTGCTGTGACTGCAGCAAGTAAGACCTTAGTTGTTTGATAGTTTAACACTTTGGCTACTGCATAGGTCGGTCTCTTAGTGGGAACGCATTCGACCGTTAGCTCTATCTCGCGGCTTTCGTAAAGTTTCGTACACTACTCCAAGGTGAAATAACCTAATTATAAACTCTATTAGGAAGATACTAGTAATGATATCAAAACTAGGAAGTAATCTTGGTTTTTGACCATAGTTGAAATCGAGACTCTGCTACCTGTTTCTCTTCGTGTTGTAGTAATCTCGTGCTTTAGCATTGACGATTGGTCTAGAGATCTGTTAGAGGTAGTAAATTATTTATATCTTATTATTATTTGTAACTTTTTATCTTATTAACTTTATCTTACGTTATTCCTGGCGTGTTTCAGCAGACGTTTACCGTAAAGAAAACACAAGAGGTTGCCATCCACAGACGGATTGTCGATTCTTGAGTAGACTCGAGGAAATGACATCGTGCTTAGTAATCCTCTACTTTGAATTGGCCTAGTAAACTAAAGAGAAAACAATAGTACACGAACTTTGCTAGGTTCATTACAAAAAATTCAGCGTGATTATGGTTACCCGGTTTAAATCTAGTCGAGTTGAGGCTCGATCGATACTGTGGAGAGACGTTGGCTTTGTACTTACACGTCGGAAGACGGGCTCTTAAAAATGGTAAAAACTACGCGTCGAATAGACTCTTTGGCAGGTGTTATCTTCCCTGTGTCAGAAGGTCAATTACTTTGTCTCTAACTGGAGCTCGCCCCAGTTACCTTCTATCGAATGAATGAGCTTAGCATAATCAGGCTTGTCTGACGGTCTATGTATATTACATACCAGCGAGGTATACTAGCGTTGCCTTCCGGACGCCGATCCTCAGTGAAAGGCAATGGAAGTTTCTGCTGAACTCTTTTCATAACAAGTTCTATAGTTTCTCTGAAATTTAAATTTCAACTTGATGTTTTTTGGATCTATAAGGGTCAGTAGACATATCCATAAAGCATTACAAATTGTAAAATAAAGTTTTCAAGATAATTATAAATATTAATATAATGAAAGAGTCAACAGATTCATTTTAACCGGATAAGGGTTTAGGAGGTCCGACCGAAAAAGAACCTGTTTGATAAATGCCCCTCGGATAGGAAAACCTGTAATATGCTTTTGTAGCCAAGTTGGTATAATTTATCCCTTTACGTTTTATATTAGGCTCTTGTTCTTTACTGTAGTTACCTTAAAAAAATCGTAATAGCCTCACTCTCTCCTGAAGGAAAGCCAGAGATTAAAAAAGAATTCTTGTCACGTCTACTTAAAATTTGTTAACTTTCTGCATTATCTAAAATTTCTGGGAGCTTGCATTTACTCGGCAAGTAAAAATCGAAGACCTCTGAAAAAGAACGAACCGGTAGTAAGGCTATATACCGCTTCCACTGAGGTCCAAGTTACTCAGAAGAACATTTACTAGCTGGACAGCAAAGTTATACCACATTTGCCATGTTTTTTTTTTCGTAGGCGCTCATAGTCCGGACCATAATAATGTTTATCCTCACGGGAAGTAACTTGGAGAAAGCTAGGAGTACTGTTAGTAGTTGGTGGCTTAAGTTGAACTAGCCTATCCTTAATAAAATATTATATTAGGGAAGTTTTTTTAGAGGACAAGCATATTGTAATTCAATGGTGACGGTGAAGCTAGTCATGAGAGCAGAGTATATTCAAAAGGAACGAGATTCAACCGGGGCTTTTAATAGTAAATCACTAAGAGTACTATTAAACAGTGACTAAGTATCATTTAAATAGTATTCTGGAATTAAACATAGGAGGTGAGGGCCTTTGATAAAGTGAAAGTGAAAGTAAGCTAAAATTCTCTATAACCTAAAAAAAGATTTTGTGTCGGCTTCCTTATTTATATGATTTCTGAGACTTCTTGTCCTTTCTTGGTTAATTTTAAATAAGTACCGTTAAAGGTAAAAGATTCAAAAACTTTACCGAAAGTGCATATTAGAAGAAAAAAACTACTTGAAGTTATTATTAAAGAATTATAAGTTAATACCTATGTCGTTGCCAAAAGCTTTAGAGCTTTTATTTTTCTATGTTATCAATTAAATTTGAATAAAGATATTCTTAAGACTATAAGATTACTAAGGAGGCTAAATCACTGGTTACGCAAGTTTTATTTTAACTGCTTCAAAAGAACAATTAATTCTTAATTTACGTATTCTTAAAGGTTTTTGATAATCATTTTTTTTTTATAACCTCAATATAAAAATAAAAATTTTTTAAATTTAAATTTAAAAACTTTGTTTATTTTTTTAATTCACATTTTCAAGTTGAACCGTTTCATATAGTCTAAAAGGTCACTAGGTTCCGTTATATAGTGGTCGGCGAAATAATGAGTAACGATTCTTTTTAGCTGTTAAATTTATAAAAAAATCTTTTAAAGTTAAGCTTTACGTTCCTTTAAAAATATATATACGTTATTTCTGTCTTCCGTTACTTTTGCTCTTTCCGAAATCTTTGAAGTTTTGCCTACTTGAGTTAAAAATAGAAACTTTGTGCTTTGACTGCTATCCACAAAGCGTGCGTAAATGTACAAAACTTTATTATCTTTAGTTAAGGATAAAACAAGTAAACAGTTAAATAATTTAAAAGGCTTATAATTTGTAAATCAAAGGATTAAGCAAACGTTTGCTAAAAGTTATGGAAATATTAATATAAGCAAAATCTTATTTTCTACTTAAACAGTTTACTTGTTTCATAAGTTTTATACGAAAGTTTTAATTTCCTGAAGTTTATTCAGGACTTACCCTTTATTTTACTAGAAAGACTATTAAAATCTTTTCCGAGTTCTTCAACGGTAAGTAGGTTTCCTTTACGTTCGTATACCACCCTTCGTTATCGTCGTTGCACAGGTAATAAAAAAGGATTAACGTTAGGCTTGCATAACTTTGAATTGGATGTATTTAAGCAAGTTTTAATGGGAGACAAACTCGATACCATTGATAGGAACTTTTAGAATCTCTAACTTTTTGAAAAGCGGTCAAAAGATCAACATCGTTAAAAGATGACGATTCTATAGAAAATTATTAAACTTTGTATGTAATAAACTTTTGTATAAATTTTTTTTTATAAGAAGTAAACGCCATAATTGAAATAAATATTTTAACTAATAATAAATATAAATCTTAACATAACTTTTATATTGACCTTTCTAGGTTTAAAAAAAAATTAAGTTAATTATCTTTTATTTATAAAATAAATAAAGTTAGTAAGTTATAACTACATCAAGTTTATTATGTGTGACTAACTTTATGGTGTTTAACTCTTAATAACACTATCATTCTATGCTCAGTAATAACTAATTTTTGTAAATCCTAGCACTCTTTTGTATATTATCTATTATAAAAAGGGTAAGAGAAGAGTAAAGTTGTACGAATTACAGTTAAAAGTAAAATAAACTTCTTAGAGGCCTCACAATAAATAAACGGTCTAAAACCTAGTAACCACTAAAGAAAGATTGAATCAACTTAAAATAAAAGTTCTTCAAGTTTAATATACTCTTCAATGGTACCATTAACTTGTTTAGTTGTTTTTAACTTGTCATTAGTTTTACTTTCAGAGATACTTATTGATTTTTCCTGAATTTTATATTTTCTATGTTCTTCCAACAACGATTTAATAGTGCTTTCCTCTATGCTCTTGAAATTAACTTCACCCCTTTTTTTATTAGTATCCTTGAACTGCGCATTATTTTCCACGTTAGACGGTTTTTCTAAAGGTTCTATCTTTTTTTTTTCTTAGATATATTTTAACAACAGTCAGTCAATAATTGTTATTAAAAAATATATGAAAATGTTATAATACTTCATACTCCTAAGACGGCTATTGTAAAAATACCTGACAAAGCTGAATTTTCTTCTTTCTGGTTGTAATAAAAACCTTTAAACCTTTCTACTAATAACTCCGCCGCTTTTTCGATACGAGTGACGGGATGAGATGCTATCATATATTTTAGTAGACTTTGAAAAAAACATATTAAAAATGTAGAACAATTATTTAAGTTAAGGCCAGCCAAGTGCTCCAATCTTTCAGCAATTATCGTCAAGTTTTTTATAATTTCCTTTGTGTTTTCCTTTTAGATAGAGAGCAGAGTGCAAGGTACTTGATATCTATAAAAACATGAAGTATGAAGAACCATAGTAGTAACGGCGAACTCTAATCTGTTTATGAGCACTGCAACATCTTCTGTGTCTTCCTCGAGGGGAACGAAAGACAAATTTTCAATTCTTTTAACAATTTTTAATAAAGACATGTTAATTAATATAAGTTGTTGTTTGCGTTAACCATTATTTTAAATTACTTTTTTATATAACAATATAATGCAAACAAATGTTCACATTAGCTTTCTTAATTATTTAAAAACCTTTAACTTTTAAGTACTATATAAGAAACTTTGCGCACAACTGTATATAAACTTACCTAAACTTTGAAGACTTTTTTGCCTTCCATATATGTAAGCTAAGTCGATATATAATTGGTTTTATTTAGTTTAACACTTTCGCAAGAGTTACCATGATAAAAAAAAGTTTGCTTTAGCATGTTTTTAAACATCGTATTAGTAAACTTTTTACACATCTTTAGTTATTATATATATTTGTCAATAGAAAAATCTACTTTTGTAAATTACTTTTTGTTTAAGATTAATAACTGTAGCTTCTTTCCTTTTCTAAGTGAAGTCTATCTATTATATTGGTTAAGGGGGCTATTCTTTCTTTAAAATTACTTCTAGCAATTTAATAATAAATGCATTAAGTGTTTTTAAAAAAAAGGTGTTTGATTTATATAAAGCTTATTCGTCATCCGGCTTCTGCGAAGTACATTTTTTTTTTGGTAATACACTTCTTTAATTATTTTAAATTGCACGTCTCTTGAAGAAAAAATACATTTACGAACTATTATATTCTATTCCGCCTCAACTTTTTTAAAGCTCATGAATTATCTGTCCTTTTTATTTTGCTTCGAAGATACAGTTATGATTTGGTAATTATCCTTGACATCAAAAAAGTGTGACCAATCTTCCCAAACCAAGAATAAAATTATTTAACCTTCTTTTTTATTACTCTGATTTTCAATTTTGGTATTTTTGTATTTGTAAAAGGTTTCCTCTTTTTTTTGTGACTCCGTCAACTTTCTTATTTTGTCAATGTCTAAGATTTGAATGAGTAAGTAATAACCAGAAACTCTACTTTTTAGCTTTGTTGTAGTTTTTATATTAAAATGTCCTAAGCTTTATTGGCATTCACCTTACAAAATAATAAATAACAATTCTTTAAGTAGTTTATATGACTTAAGTGATTATAGTGAAAAGCTTATTTTTACCTTAAATATTAATTTTTATATATTAAACTGGGTTTATAAATACGAAGGTCTTTAACTTAACAGTTTATATATATCTTTTTTTAAAATAAACGCTTAAAGCGTTAATTACTTAAGAGGAGTATACTCTTAAAAAGATTTTTAACTCGAACCTTTAGACATTATTGTAACGATGTTTTTAAAATTAAAGTTATTTTATTACTTCGAAGATATTTCTAGTCTTGAAAAATATAACGTCATTAACTTAATGTGAGATTAAATTGTGTGGATCTAATATTAAACGTATAGAGGGCTTAATAAGATGTTTCAATGTTCTAAACAAAATAAGTAAAGTTTAACCGTTTCATGTACAGGAAGGGAATAAAAATTTTTGTCAGGTTCAACAAACCTTTTTTTCACAAACCTTCAGCCTTTTTATTCCTAATTAATCCTAAACGCTGAGTATTAACAGGTGCTACGTAAAGCGATGAGTGAGGGACGCATGGTATAGAAGAACTACTAACGAAATTCAGTGATTTTTAATAAAAAATAAATTAAGAACAATCAATTTATGATCTTTCTATTGTTAAATTTTAGTCCTGAAATTAGATTCTACCTTTCCTGTGTTTTTAGATGGAGACAATGTTTTATTTGGCCCCCACTATATACAATTTTTCTGACTTTTTTCGAGTATAACAGAGGGTATTGCCACAATGAAGGATTCTCCAATTGAAAGAGATTGCTCTTTTGGCTGGATTTGTATTCAGCTGTGTTCATATGGATCTACCTAAATACTTATGGAGATGGCAGCAGGTAAAATCAGTACTTTATAACGTCTTGGAAGGTTTCGAACGTCACGCATACTTTATAAACTTTCAGTATCTTAAGAATAAACCGAAGCAATAGTAAAAACTAAAAAATTTTACTCTAAATAAGGACACCCTCAGAGTTGTTTTTTTCCCTCTTTTAAATGTTGCGTGTTGGCCTCTTCAAGACCTTTTTTTTAGTTATATTCCTATAAGCTCTTAGCACTTTTCAACTTTAATTAAGTTCAAAGCACTACTTTTAACCAAGTTTTTTTCTCAATAGTTCAATAAATATATAACCTAAACTCCTACAAAGTAGTGATCGCAGTAGACAACGCCAGTACCTTTCGCGCGTTACCACGACTTGAAATGATAAGTTGTACTCTTCCGTTGAATTTAAATATAATAATTAATGTAATTAAAAATTCTATTCAGAATTGTAGTAAACACAAATATAAAATTTAGTAAAAATGTAGTACATGCAGTTTTAAAATTTAGTTTTATTACATATAACAAGCGGTTAAAGTGGTAAATAAGCCATATTTACTTTATAGTTATAAATTATGTAGGGATTTTAGTAAATCTTCGCAAGAGAGAAAAAGTGCAGAATCGCCGGGTAGTTTTATAACTTCCTTATTAAGTTCTTGTAATATTTTCATATGAGATGGTTTTTTTTCTTCAGTGATACAATGAGTAAGAACAAGATACCCTAAACGAAATAATAACACAGTAAAATTTGTAAAAACAAAATCTTACCGAACTTTCGAAGACATGTTAAAAGTTGTTTAAATTTTTCTATAAAAATAGGCTCAGAGGTTTTCAATTTATGACATATGTTGTTGTTATTATTATTACAGCTCTTTTTTGTTAAGAAAAAGTTTGTGGCGTATGTAGAATGCGAAATAGAGGGAAGGAGCGTGGCTTGCAAGGCGTCCCTTTTCAAAGGCAAGTTCAGTAATGTTTTGCTATTATTGTTATTACTATTACTATTATTATTCTTGCTTGTTTCCAGACACGTTTGTAATAGATAATATATATCTGCATAAGCCTCGAATAGCAAACACTCAAAGAAGTTTAGCAGCTGCGTATTGGAGAGTATAGTTTTTGAATTAAAGTCAGAAAGATCATTGGGTGGCGAAGTCGCGGAGAGCAGCTTCATAAGAAGTGCAGTCATAAACTTAAAGGTTTTAATGCGGATGGACCAATAACTGCCGTTGTGAAACGAAAAATCTTTTAAAATGCCAATGATTGGTGCCATAATTGCCTAATGTTTGGTAGTTAAAATAAATCATTCTGAAAAATAACGAATAGCAACTCAATTTTAAACCTCAAAGTTTTTCTGGAACTCCAAAGTCCGAATGATCATTATTTTATTGTTGTGTGTCTTCAAGTGAATTGGAGACAGCAGCAACGAAAAGCAAAGCACATACGTAGGAAGAATCACGTGTTCACATCGGCTTAGTAACCGTTGTCTTATGGGATGGTCGACTAGAAAAGTCCGGAATAAACTGAGAGACTAAAAAATTCTGTAAGACCACGAGGTAGATAGCCAATAATATGAAAGCAAAAATCCCCGCCAACCTCTTCTTTGTATGGATCGTCATTTTTGCATAGGAGAGCCACGACCTATTGACAGAGAAATAGTGCTTATGCCTTCCTCTAGCAATAAAAATGTACTTTTAAGACATCCTCCTTCTCATACGTGAATACTTGGTCCAGCAAAAAAGCCATTCGTCCTTTAATAAAAGCATCGCCGTAGTAGTCCAATGAGCTGATCCCGCACAACAATTGGCCAACCAGAAGCACCTTTAATAACCAAAAGCGCCATAGAGAATAAGAAAGGAGGATGCAAATATATTATGACCTGTGCGGAGGAAAACTGGGACTGCTGGAAAAGTTGGGGGAAGGGATAGTCCAATGAATTCTTCTTGTAGAGCAAAAAGGGACAGTGCATAAAAACTGTCCCTAGTTGTAAAAAAGTACGTAAAAAGTAGCAAATTATGCCTTAATAAACACTAAAAATAGTAAATTGATCGAAATAAGGGTGTGGAAGTAATAACGAATGGACACAAAATGAGTTGTATAAAAATCAACGGCTTCTGAGTGTTGAAGGGCCACGTGGGACATAAAAGTGTTCAAGTGACGTGCTACTTTTTTCATTAAAAAGAGTTCATACCAACAATATTCTGAAAATGGCGAAGGCGACTTCGTTCTCTTTGGGACCATCGGAAGGAGGCCTGATTATAAACATATATAAACGTTATCATGATAATAAAATCACTAAAAATAGATATATGGGAAAACCATATGCAGGCCGTTAAAGTAGGAAAATTCAGTGCGGCACTGTTCTATTTTGGTAGAGAAAAACTTATATTTGTATTTATATGTGAAAAGTAAAAAACACTTTTTGCAGGAATAAGTTTGTTTCATAATTTTTACGGCAGTCCAACTAACCTTTTGTCAACTTTCCTTCTGCTAAAAGCATATGCGCTTTCACGCCAACATTGTAAGAAAACGATTGGACAATAGCAGGAATATTGTTTTCAAAGTCTTCTATCCTGTGAAAGTCAATAATAATAGTGACGATAAACAGAATAAATAGACGTTCAATATAAAAAATATACAGTAAGAAACCGCAAAAAATTAACTTGGTTATAAGGTCAGATAGACCAATCAGAAACACAGTTTATAAACTTAAAAAAGAGCATAATCCTCATAATAACAGTAATAATAACAGTAATATAACTTTTCGCAAAAAGCTTCAAGTTGGGGATTTAGTTCATAAAAAGTGGAATCCTGTTTATGCATATTTTACAAAAACCAAGCAATCAAAAAAACCTCATAAACTGTACTTTTGCCAACAAAGTTTTGCTTAAACGGTGCTGCAATTCTAGAATGCCTATAGGTTCCAGGCAGCAGAGAAACCAAAGATTTGTTTGTTTTTGAGGGGAAAGTAAACCTGAAAAGAAAAAAAAATAAAGAAAAAGAAAAGTAGGGAGAAGCAAAAATAACAATGGAAAGTTGATAAAAAAAACCTTCAGTGTTCGCTTCGTTGAGGAGAATAATAAGAAGCAAAATGGCCAGACGCGCATTGTCCTGCTTGATTTTCATGCAATATTAATAATGAATTTTTTTAAAAACAAAAAAATAAAAAAGGAGTTGTGGACTTTTACTGAAAAGATATATATAGACATTATATAATAAATCAATCCACTGCTTATGGTCTAGCTTGGATAGGACATCCAAAGAAAGATCTGAATTCTCATTGGCTCGGTTTTTCAATATTATGAAAACCTAGAAAAAGCATGGTAACCAAAAGTTTAAAGAAAAAAATAGTAAACTGACTTTCATAAAAAATATGAATAATTTAGTAAAATTATTTTGCTAGAAATAAGAAATAAATAACTTCATAATAAAAAAGAAATTATTATTTTTATAAATATATATTTCATAAAAATCTTATTATAATAAATTTATTTATAACAAAAAAAATAATGAACAAAGCAAACTCTAAAAAAAGAAATTAATAAAAAGATTATTATTAGTGTCCCAATCGCCGTACTTCTCTTTAGTGATGTTTTACAAGTGGTTATAATTTTAGTGAAGAGTCTTTTATTAAGGATAAGAATAGAAATAATGCTAATAGTCAACCTCCACAAAACAATTTATAAAGGATTCGACATAGCCGCTCGTATTTAACTTTGTTATAGAAAAATATATAGTGAATACCACTTCATAAAAAAAAAGTATAAAAAAATGTACAAAAGTTTTTTTAAAAAGCATATTAAACTGCTCTCGTATTGGATGTTTTAAATAGTCTTCTAAAAGTTGAGGAAGGTCCACATGGTCATGCTTTCGTAAAAAAATAATGAAAAGAAAATTTTATTAATTTCGAACGTTGGGAGTACTTTAAACAGTCCCGATTGCTCAGCAGAGCCAAACGGACCAATACTGTCATGGACTTCGAAAAAAGTAGAAAAAAGCATAAAAAGTACAATAAAATAAGATATATTACCCAACAGATCGTCTCCAAAGTCTTCATAACTATCAGTATTTCTTTTGAAATGCTGCATAGCTGAGTTGAATAACAAATAAACATCCGAGAAAAGTTTATTACAACCAAAAAATCACTAAAAACATTTTTTTCACCAAAAAAGTATAAATACAACATTAGCTGCGAAACAATTAATAAAAGCTACATTATAAAGCTAATTAAAACTGACAAGCGTAAATTAACAGCCGTTAAAAACACAAAAGTTTAGTACCACTAAACCGGCAGTTCTTTAAAATTCTTGTAAGAAGCTGACAAAACTTAATAAAAACCTCTTCAGGTAATTTAAATCTTATTATTTATTAATAAGATAAAAAAAGTGCTTTTAGAAAAAAATTATACTGAAAAAAAAAGGAATATATTAATTTCCATCCCATATCCATAAAAAAGTTAATATTTTAAAGTAAATTTTTTTAAAAAAGTTTATAAGGTAATTCGAAATTAACCTAAAGTCCAAAAGTTTCTTAAAAAACTTGCAAAAGTAAGGCATGAAGAGCGGAACTTTTATACATAAGCAAAAAATATATATTATTTATTTTACTCTAGTTCAATACTAATAAACCAAATAACCCAAAAATAACCGAGCACACTAAAAAATTAAAAAAGAAAAAGAGCGCCAGAATTATTTGATGAGAACATAGCGCGCCAAAAAATATAAGGGGTATATAAGTAATACCAAAGCTCTGCAGGGGGTAGAAACCAAGAGCTTCATCTAAACCGACAGCTAAACTCAAAAGCGGCCCGCCATCAACTTCACCTGCTAAAACGAAATTAAGTATTAAAAAAGTTTTAAAAAGTTTCTTCAATTTACTGTCATTAAGAAGAAATAAATAAGAGGAACGATAGTATAACTTTTTACATAAATGAAAAGATTAAAGAAAAACTCCTGATTTTTTTTTAAAAAATAGTTTAAACAGTAAAAGTATGCAAGAGAATGCAAAAAAAACGTTGAAGCTAAAATCGATAAAAAACATCAAAGCAAAGAACTTTAAGAAAGGGGGAGCACCTTGCGAAGTGGTATCCCGCCTTTTTTCTAATAGCACTCCAGCAAGATCAAACAGCTAATTAGCTCTTTTATAAGACTAATAATTTTGCCTACTTTTATGAAAAAAACTTTTTCAAGGACGTTTTTTTGAGGGGAAGGTAAAGTATTATTATTCTATAAAAAAACCAAGACAGATTATTTTTTAAATCAGAAATCTAGTAAAAGTAAGATACCTTTAAGCTTTTAAGTAACTTAAGCAAACTAGCAAGCACGAATGACTTTGTTTGGTTATTAGATTTTTGGAAATCAACCATTTGTTCAATTCTTTTTTCAAATCCTTCAATTAAAAATTCATAAAACCATAGCTAGGGTGCAATAAAAGGTTATACTAAAATTCTCAAGCTCACTAGAAGGCGACAGGTTTGAAACAGACAATACAAGTTCTACCATGTATTTTAAGCCAAATAATGTCGTGTGTTGCTGAAACTGAACTAAAATCATGACATGAAATATTAACAATAACTAATTATAATAATGGTATTTAATAACTATAAACTAGCAAACCTGTTTTCATTTTCTTTGCTAATACGCTCTCCTCTCTGCTTATAACTACACGACTTGGGAGAAATAAAAAAAGCCTAATGAAAAAAAACCAACACTTTGCAAGGCTCTTTATAACTAAGAGTAATAAGCACCTCGCTACTAGACTGCGAAAGCCTTTCAAGGCCTCGTTTTTACTAATATCACTAACAAAGCAGTAAAGTGAAGGATATGTAAGCTGGACGTGAAGCTCAAGTATTTTCAAAAATTCTTTAAAAGAGCGTTCATCTCGTTGCACATTCGTGTTAGCATTCTTAAAATAAACAGCTCCCTGCTCTTCTAAAGATTCAAATTCCAACTCGCAATCTTCATAATACTTATTCTTGTAAGTTCTATAATGCTCCCAGAGTTTCTTTATGACCGCCTCTTTAGAGATTTGACTCTAGCCGTGCTAATGGTAATAACGATAAAGATAATAATAATAATAGTAATTACCTTCTCCATAATAGAAGTAAGAGAAGGAAGTTGTCTTTCAATAATCATTGGGCCGTCCTTTATAACAAAACTTAAGTTCATATAAGCAAGCAGGAATTCCCAGAAAGCTTCCACATGATCTTTAAAGGAAAAGTTCGAAGTGGCCCGTTGACAATAGTTAGAAAATCCATAATCGCACAGCTTTACTAGCAATGTCCAGAGTTGCCCGTATAACTCGTAGCGGTTTTCAGAAAAAAGATCATTAACTGCGGAATGAATAAAATCCCAAAATGTCATGAGCGCGAACGGGCGGCGCTGTGTAAAGAATAAAACATAATAATTATAATAATAACATAATTATATATACAAATAAGCCGTAAGAAGTGGTTATTAAAGAAGCCCATAAATTCAAAATAAATTTTTCTTTCAAGCCTGCATTTGTAGGGATTTCTATGTCGAGCTAAAAAAAAGAATAAAATTGAGACTATTTTTTAAAAAAAATTAAAAAATAAAAAGTATATACAAGATTTGGATGGTGAAGAGAAAGCAAAAGTAATTCTTTTATAAGACTAGTCTTAGCCTTTGTATGCTCTCGAGAACCTTGATTCAAAAGTAATGCGTAGTTATTGTCATCAATAATGATTAGATCATCATTATTGCCCTGAATATTTATATTTAAAGCATTGTTCTCTGATAGAAATAATGCAATCAATATGACTTCAAGTGTTTGAATAACTTGCCACCGAATGTTAAGATCTGATGCGGTCAGAAGAAAGTTTTAAAATTAACTTTAAAAAAAAATTATTTATTCAAAAACTAAAGAAAGCACTTAAATAAAAGCTTTCCGTCTCCGAAAATGAGCTTTCACTGCTAATCCTCACTTCCAGAGGGCTGGTATCAACTAAAAAGCCTTTCAAATGTTTAATTAATTCTTCTATCTTACAACTATTTCCTGCTATGACTGTTCATTTTATATACAAATGAAAAAATTTTTATTACTGAATTTAAAAAATATAAATTAAAATTTAAGGCAATCCTTATAACTTAAAAAAAAAAAAGGCGTAAAAACCGCATAAGAAAAATACCTTTTGCATAAACAAGATAATTATTTAGGCTTGTATTCGTATTGTTATTCAAACAGTTGCAAGTATACGTAGTTTTAAAAAGGTTCATGAAATTGTCTGTGTTATCCTTTTGGCAGCCGCTCGTTAAAAAATAAATCCCCAAACAAATAAATGGGAGTCTCAAAAGAACTAAATAATTTAAACAATCAACAGAAAGAAGAGAACTAAATTTATCTTGCTCAACAATATTTTCATTTTTCTTAGCAATAGAGTTCAGATAATAAAACTTTTCTTTTAAATTAAACAAGCGAAGTTGTTGTCGTATAATATTTGTTTCATGCTTACAATTATTATAAATATCATTATATGAAACAAATCTTTGTTGATGGTGGAGTAAAAGCTTATGTTTAAGCACAGATAATTCTTTATAGCAAAGCCTATTACACAAAAAAAAATATTATATAGCTTAAACATATGAGACATTAAATTCATTATTTCCGTTTTTTTACTTAATAAAAACCTTTTATTAAGAGTGTACAAACTTATGTCACTTTTTTCTGAAAAAAGGTTGCAACAGGCTTGTTCTTCTGCAATCATATATTTGAGTAAAACTTAATCAAGAATTTGAAAGACTCTTAATTAAGTAACAATATCAACCTCTTAAGTACACAAGACAAAAGAAGAGCTACCAAATTTTCAGAAGGTTAAGGGATGGCTGGATTCCGCCGCAATAGCGAAAGCACGCCTTCAAATATTGGCATAACGAGTGTTAAAAGCATATTATAAATACTCTTTGCTTTTGCTTTTTCTTATTTACTTTCTAAACACTTTATACTTTTTAATTTTTTAAATAAGCGACGTAAATTTTATATTAGTAGATTTATTAAGGTAATATTCTTTTCTATCAAAGTTTCAGTGGGATGGAAAACGCTTTCAAATAGGGTAACTTATAGTTTAAAAATTTACAAGAAAAATATGAGCTCTTTTATTGTTTTAAATGTAATAACACATATTTTACTAGAGTAAAAATTGACTGTTCTTTTTAAGAAGAGAAAAAATTACCATAACCAGTGCACTAGCAGCAATGACCGCGTAAACTATGCAGATCGTAAACTATTGAAAAAAAGAAAACTGAGCAAACTGAATTCTATTTTTATCTTAACACAAACTTACAACTTATACCCTACCCTATGGGCACCTTCAGTAACTTCTGGTAGGTAAAGTAAACTATCCTATTCCCAGCTAGCATTCAATTATTTACTTTTCAGTAATTTTCCCTCTTTAGAAGAACTTGCAAAATTTAATATATTAGGCTAGGATATGTTATATCCCACCAGAGTATCGAGTAGGAGTAATTTGAAATTAATTGATATTAATTAATAACATAGCTTCCGCAAACATAACAATCCTACGTTAAATTTTTAGTTCAGCTTTGGCGGTGATGTAGAATTTCCAACCGCCCTAGAAAGAGGACACCCGCTTTAGAAGGCAGAAAACTTTTTTACTTTATTTTAGCACTGGCATACTACGGCCGGTCCCCTTGAGACCTGAATCCGCCTAACCTGAATTCCCCCTTCTGCAGGGGTTGGTGCACGAGTGCCCACCAGTGTAAGCTCTTTGGAGAGTTATAACGACTGTCCCGAAGGACTGAAAAAGCGGAAAATATTGGGTTAGGATTCCCGCCTTCGACCTAGTGTAGCGGAAAACAGCTGAAAACCACCACCGGGAGAGGAGCATTAGGCGGAAAGACCAAGGACACCGGGAGACACCGACCAGCACCACTGCCAACCAGACCTCCTAACTATAAGCTCCTCACCGGAAGGGAGGAGCCCTTAAACACTATTTTTCATCTTTTTATTATTTATTTACAACTGACAGCTCCTAGTGCTCAATCGAGTAAAAAATTGAAATACTCGTGCTCTCAACTAAGAGTGATCGCAGACATGTTACATAATAGCTTTCAAGTAAAAAGGTGTCATTATTTTCTAGATGTTAACAAACAAAAACTAACTCTTACGCGCGACACGTGGCGGAGGTAACGTGACCCGTTCCATGACTCGTAAATAAGTTCACGACAGCAGCCGATTAGTGTGCCTGGCTAGCCTGCCGTAATAGACCACGCTGGGCTTGGAAGACACGTTTAAGGCTCCCTCTGTAGGCACCGGCGAAGAGCATCATTTCCTACAAACCACGCCTTTGTCAGAACATGCAGCAGTTTGTTCTGTCGCACTTGAAATGCAGACGCTACTGTGGTGGGGTCAGAGTTCAAGCAGCAGACGCGTGTTATTAGTGACTGGCTGTAGGACATACACAATTGCCGTTTAATTTGCATAGAAAGCTTGCTCTTGCTGCATAGTAAAGGATAAAGCACTTGGTTGCTGTCTAGAACTTCGCCACTAAATAACCCATGTGCGACTGCCAGGAAATTTTGTCGTCAACGATGACTCCCAAAATGTTTCTCTTGAGAAACCACGGAATTTTCGCGCTACCAAAGGTTAAGGGCGGGAGCGGCGCGGATATATAAATAGTACCAGTACTATGCTACTAGTATAGTACTAGTAACAGACACTAGTCTGTACGAGAAACCTGAGTCTAAGCCCATACCTTTCACAGTAACGAGCCGCGACAAAGACCACCGTATGCCAGTGTCTGGTGCTAATACCATACCACAGTCCTAACCAGTCAGGTCAAGCGTGTGTCCTTCGGAATCAAAGGAAAATGTAGTATAGTAAACATCACTCATAAATAGACTATGTATCTGTCTGCGTCCGTCTTTGGTACTAACATAACAGACGGCTCACCTAGCCACTTAGCAGCTTTCGTTAACTATTTATTTAGTGTTCAAGTTAACTACGACTGCTCAGACTAGGCCAATTAGATTTAAAACTGGAGTCAGCTGGCAAAGCTAGTACTCAACGCGTGGCAATCTAACAAGGAAATAGTTTGGTTACCTATTTGTTTTTTATTGTTAGTTTTTGCTATAAAATCATTAAACTGACGAGCAATTCTCGTATCCTATCGGCTAGCTAAACTGAGCATCAGTTTAATACAGGGAAGAGAACACCTGCCTGTAGACTTTACAAACGTCTGCTTTTTTGTCAACTTTAAGAGGAGGCCTTTCGACCCGTGCTTCTCTAACATAACTGATAACTCAGCTAGTTAGCTATATGCAGCCTGCGCCTCTCTCAGTGCTAGTTCACCCTGAATCCAGAACTAAGCTAAGGAAGGTACCATAATCACGACCCTAGGTTTGGTCCATAATTAGAGAACGAGTCCAAGCCTCAACTCGGAAGCTGGCCATGTTGGCCTTAAATTAATGTACATTATCCGCCTAAGCAGAGGGCCTCAAGGATAATCGTTGTCGTGACACCATCGGGTAGTAGAGGGTGACACGACCAAAGCTTAGATGAATCGACATTGAAAAAGCAATCTGCCTGAGGAAGACAACCTATTGAGCGGCCTAGATGGAAACCATCGGCAACCCGCAAGGACTAAGACAGATCGCTGGCGCGAATTTTAATTTATAGGACCTTCTGGGCCACTTTACGAACATGTTTCTCCGAACCTGTATAGTTGATTCTTTCAAAACATGAATAGTGTACGATACAAAGCGAATGATCCCAAAATGATCACACAGTCAACGATCCCACTAAGATCACCAACCTATGCCATAGCCAAAGTCAACAACTAAGAAGACTAAGGTCTTACCTTCTGCAGTCGCAACTAAGTAAAGGTTTTTCACACACGTCCGAGATTTAAGTTAGATTTAAGTTAGATTTAAGTGAGTTAGATGCACAGGACGTGCGAAAAAACGAGCAAATTGCTCTGCTCTTATACGTGATTCTCAAGCAGCTAAGCATGTCAAAAAGGCTTCATTTTAGGTTTCTTAATTATAATAGTGTCTATTACTAGTCAATAAAGCCTATAGGTTAGCAGTAGTAGAAGCACTCTTGTACCAAAGTATTTTTTTTTTGCTTGACTTAATTTTTATATAAGTTTATTTAGATTTAGTACTAATACTTAGATAATCTTATTATTTTTTTATTACATTTAATTTTTATTGTACTATATTTTATTCTACTTTTTTTTATTTTATTTTATTTTATTTTATTTTATTTTATTGTTTTATTTTTGCTCAAATGGAAGAGCTCTATTTTAGTATTAAATTTTACAATGTTAAATTATTTTCTAAAGGTATTCTTGTTGATTTATTGAGTTAAACTGTATTAGCATTTAATCAGGTTTATTACTTATATGATTTTAGATAATTTGAATTATATAGTAACAAGGATTATTCTCTAAGTCAACAACCATTGCTAGCGCGAGGTTAGTAACCTAAAGTCCTCTGTAAAATTATGAGCTTATAAAATTTTATTTGTTTGAAGCCAACAAGATGCGTTTTTTAGTAAAAGCGCTCTGCTCTTCATCGCGTTCATAGCTTCACCTACGATTAAACTTCTTACACTTATACCTTTAATGAAATGAGCTTTACCAAGCCGGTAACACAAATTTTTCTTAAAAAAACTCCTTGTTTCTTAACGAGTGATTTTGGCTCTGGTAGAGAGCTCTTGAGCAGCAACTTTGGGATTGCCCGAAGTAAGCTCCGATATCTGATTTATTAAGTTTCTTATAGAAATATGACAGACAGCCATCTGTTCAAGGATCAAGAACTGTCGAAATGAAAGCTATGCAATGCATAAGTACGTAAAAAACTATATTTGAAGGCTTTAAGTAAAGTCTTCTGCTGAGAACTCTATAAAATAAAAAGATTACAAATCGCATTAAAATTCTCTTAGTAAGAATTTAATACTCATCATTATTAATAAAAATATTATTTCGTTAAGTTTTAGCAGTGAGTCCGAAAATCCTATGGTTCCTATGGAGGGTGTAGAAGAACTAAAGGCTTTCTTTCTGGAAACAAGCCTTATCTTAAATTATAAAGTTCTTTAAAAGCTTTCATTGTAACCTATAAAGTCCGGTTGTTTTCATTCATACAAAAATCATAAACCCAACTTATATTACATGATAGATTCCTCATATCCAAGTTATAAATAAACAAATTCACTATTCCAAAAGTATTTCGTTGAAGAGCATATATGAGGGTTAATGAAGTTTAAATATATTTAAAGCTTTGAACAAGTTAAGTTTTTTGTACACTTAAAAGTAAAACTTAATAAACGGCAGGAGGTACCTGAAATTAATGGTCAAGTTACGGAATACTTAACTTACGTATAGCTCAAAAAAATTCGTTCCATTCTTCACTACTACTAATATAAGCCTTTACAGAGGATCTCATATTATAGTATAGTAATTATCTCCTGCAATAATTTATAAGGACCCGGCAAGCCTCCAAGAAGAAAAGGGCCGGATGAAAAAAATTAGAAAGCTCGTGCATCCGCCACCCCGTTAAAGCAAATTTGGTTCCCACTTTTTATATAACGGCTTCACATGCTCCATAGCTTTTTGCTGGTGATTAAGACGGTGTTGCTCTGTTCATCTTTTTTTTACGTATATACAATTGTAATAGTAGTTATCTTTATATACTTAAAAAATTATTTTTGATTTTTTAATAGTTGGCACTTTTAAACCTTAATCCCTTGGTAGTCTATTGCTTCCTTTTGGTCTCTATTTGGTAAATAACCAGGTAACTATTATATCTAGTAGCGTTCCTTATTATTTATATTTTTTCAAAGTTTAATTATGTCAACACGCAAAATAATTGTAAAAGCCAAGGGTGCTGGTCTTAGCGAGTTTGAGCGTTTTGTAGAGCAAGCTTTACATGACCTACAAAATAATACTGACGAAGAATTCAGTCGTTCTTTGCAGACGCTCTATTTATGTTCTGCCAAAGAAGTTCCTGTGGGACAGGGCCGTAAAGCCGTTGTGTTATTTGTTCCAGGTATATATAAATATATATATTTCAGTAGTTTTATTTTCCCACTCATCTAATTATTTCATGCAACGCAGTTCCACTTCTCTCCCGGTTCCACACCATTCAGAAACGCTTAGTGAGAGAGCTTGAGAAAAAATTAAGTGGAAAACACGTCCTTGTAATCGCACAACGACGTGTTCTAAAACCAGAAAAAAGAGGACATCGCGCTTATAGGCAACCTCGTCCGCGTTCACGCACTTTTACTGCTTTCTGCGACGCATTTCTCGAAGATCTCGTGTTTCCCACAGAGATCCTCGGAAAGAGAACTCGCTATCGGCTGGATGGCTCTCGCGTTACTAAAGTGTAAGTTTTAATTTTTGGATGTTCTAAAATTTTTAGTATTTTGAATTACTTTTATATTTAAGGTTCCCTTTTTTAATTTCATTTTTATTAGTAAGTTACTTTACTTCGTTTATTATCTTAAATTAATTTTTATTAGTAGTAAATTTGCTTAGAATTTTAAATTATATTTTTTTCATCTAAATTATGTTAGTAAACAGTTTTACAATACTGTTTAATTGGTCAAACTTTTTTAATCATTTTTTAGTAAATAATTTTTCTGTTTATTAATTTTTTTTAACTATTTTTTTAGTAAATTGGCTAATTTTGCATTTTTATTTAAAACATTTTTTTAATCTAAATTTTTATTAAAGAGTTTTACTGTGATTTTTTTAGGATCTTTGATTCTAAGGATGAGAAAAACATTGAACACAAGCTCGACACTTTCTCTTCCGTATATAAAAAGTTGACTGGACTGTCTGTTATTTTTGAATTTTCAGTTTCTGTCTGACTATTGAATGCTCTTTCAAAATAAATTTTTTTATTTAATTTCTCGTTTTTAGTTAAAATCTTTTTTTTAAGCCATTTTAAGAAATTTCATACTTTTCATTAGTAAGCTCGTAGTATTTATATAAGTTTTAAAATTTTTTTATTAAGAATACAAAATCTTTAACTATGGTCGGCAGAGAAAAATTAGTTATACATAATTTTTTTGAAGTTTAACAATTTATTAGATTTTTTAAAAAAATTAAAATTTGCTTGTCCTTTCAGTTCACAATTTTAAAAATAATTTTAAAAAAATGAAATTTAAATTCTTCTTGGCTTTCTGGGCCTACACCCGTTATGGGGAAAACTAGTGACATCTTCTACAGATTCAACCACAAGTCCGCCCTATAAAAAAAAGAATATCACTACAAAAAAATTTTAAAAAATTCCATATGAATTTATTTTTTTAAAAAATTACTAAAAAGAAAGTATACCTGCTGTAAACCTTTCACTGCGCCCAATCTGCCAGGGCCTATGCCCCTCAAAACTACGTGGATTTTTCTAACAAGAATGTTTAATATATTAAAAAATTAATAAAAGTTGTTCGTGAGCGGTAAAAGTTTTACCTAACTCCATTAGCAGAGAAAACAGCCCCTCCGATACTTTTTCCTGCTTCTTGGGCGGCTATTGGAGTTTCTAGAAATTAAAAAAATAATAAAATTCCTCTAATGAAAAAATAAATTTTTAATAATATATACAAACTTCTTTTAGATTTTTTAAAGCCGACCATTCCTGTTGAACGAACTGCAAGAGTACGACCAGCATTCGTACTGAGAGTTATTATGGTATTATTGGTCGTGCACAAGACATAAGCAATACAAGTTTCGCTTTGGTTTACTTTGTAAGGATCTTTTACCGGCCCTTTAGCCTTTAGTATTTTGGTAGTGGCTCTTAATAAAAATATATAAAAAAGAATTTTATAAAAACCAAAAGGAATAGTTTAACCTTCTGAGAGGTATAAAAAATTCGCTGCTTTTATAAAAATATGGACGTAAGATGTTTAAAATTCCCCCTAGCGACAGTAACATAGTAGGCAAGGTGGCAAAAGTGGACTTTCGTCGCGTGCTAAAATAATAGTGATGTGCGAAGTATTTTGCAAATATGGTAATTCATAATTATATATATTTTTTAAATATTCGTAATCGTAATTTTTTACATTAATTTAAGCCCTTTAATTTGATATCCTTTACTTACAAACTACGAATATAAAAAAGCATTGCAATGATATATCAATTATAAGCTTTCATGTATATTCTTCTTTTTTAATTATTTGCAAATATTTATTGATTGCTAAGTTATTCAATTTTATAGTTTTCAAATATTCATTTGTTAATTACACTAGAGAAATAATTTAAACAAACCTTAATCGGCTGCATTAATCAAACAGTTTTTAAAACATTAGGCTTTATGTGTTTTATAAAAATAATTATGGCTGCTTTTATTTACTGTTGTAAAATGTACTCTCGCCTACATACACTTTTGGCATCTTATATGTAAATTACATTTGACTTTACACAGAAAAATGAAAATATTTTTAATCATGGTAATTATTGTATATAAAAAACAATTTTCAAATAATAATTGGTATTTAATTTATACCAATATGCTTATTTTTTTATATAATTATAACAATGTTTACATAACTCGGAATACACTGTTAATTTCTGTAAAAAAAATTTAATGACAAAGACATTAAAAGTAGGACACTTAGAGGATGCTTCATTTTAAGATAAAAAAGTTAATGTAAAAGCCTGATATCTTTTTAAAATCTTACTAAACATTTGTCTTTAGAATTATTAAGTTGGTTCTTGTATTATTATAGCAAGACTAGAACTCTATCGATAAATAAATTGGTCGCCAAGAAGCGAGATCGTGCATTTACAGTAATAATTTACGAACAATTAAAAAAAAGGGAGTGCAAATTGTATAACAATTTATTAAAAGCCTTGGTTAACGTAAATTATGACAAAAGTGACTAAATATTAAAAGTTTTAGGAAATTTGTTAAAGCTATACTTATGACAAACCCCCATCTTCGTAACAAACTTATGCTGCCTTTATTGTGTTTTCCTACACCTTGGTGTGTCTAAATCAGGTAATACATTATTTTGGTTTTATATAAATAATTGCTTTTAAACATTGCGATCTTGACCTTTTCTATTGAACAGTTACCTAGGACATTTCAAAAAAAATCTAAGTATATAATTTTGCACATATAAAAGATTTTTTTTTTATAATAAAATCTGTTTTAACTAAAAAAAGAAATTGCACCTACTCAAACTCATTTGTTAACTGCACTTTTTATTGTTTCTCTTTTCTCTCTTGTAAACTGAGTTATGTTACAAAGTTCTTATTATAATTATATCGTATGGACAGGCATTATAAGATTACTATACGTTTATTTTACTATTCCTACAAACTTTAACAATTTGCAAAGGGGCGGTAAAACACGTAGCTAGCAAAAAATTAGCAAGAATTTATAATCTGGAGTCTAGATCAAGATTACAAAACAATTAAATGTTACATCAGTAATATTTTGATACAAAAAAAAGCATTCCTCAATATTTACAAAAACGAAATGTTTGCCTCATTCTCAATGAGCAGCTGTTAAAATTATAACATAAAATTACTTAAGTTATTGTGGCTTAACTTACCCTTTAAGATTGTCAACTTGCTCAGCCCCTAAATCTTTTATTACCACAGCATCTATAAGAACTATCACAATCAAAGTTATGAGTATTGTAACATAGTTTTAAAGAAGTAATAAATTTAACCTGACTTTAAAAATTATTTCTGTTCTCGTTTTGCTCTTTTAAATTACATACATATTAAGCGCTATTTCGGTGGGGGGTAGATACTATTTTAAAAATTGTTAGGTGCTCCACACCGATAAATATATTTTAACTTTAAATGCAAGATTGGCGTTTGCCTATCATTACGAAAATACTCTGTTATGCTTTATAAGAATTTATTTTTAACTTTCTACATGAACCTTTTTAACGGGTACAGAAATATTGATACAAACTGAACCTTTTAGACAACTACATTTTATTATTAACTGAGAGTTGTAACTATGCGCATAAGTCATAATTGAACAAAACAACATTTCACCAGGTTAAAGAAAGTTTATTGGAAAATTATATAAAATATTGTGTATGGACAATAGAAATAAATTTATAGTCTAAAACCAAAGAAATTAGAAATCTTTACAATAATGTTATTTAAGAGCATTGTAATTTAGTATAACGAAGTACTTTTCTTAGCTATTAAGGCTCCAGACCAACTCTATATTTACTGAAAACTACCCTTAGGAAAAACAATTATGGCTACCATATAGCAAAAATATCAAAAATGAGATTATACTGTGTTGTGAAAAGCTAATCAATGTAAGTAATGAGCCATAATAATATGCTTTTGCCTTGCAGCTAATCCGAGAATATAACATTAGAATGCCTTATTAAGTTTGTGCCAACTTAATAATTCAAGTTTCTATACTAAAAAGCGGTTGAGTACAAAAATTATTTCATAAAACACGTAATGGCTATGACAAAATTTTGAAACCTTTATCAAGTAAAAAACATTTCACTTTGTATTACTAATATTATGTTTTAAAGGTTAAATTGTATTTAGATAGGATCCAGTAATATACTCACAGCCTTGTGTGCGCTATGCCCCTCGTTACCGGCATGTTAAAGATATTTCCTTTACTACTAGGGGAAGGTTTGCTTGTCTATCTATCAGTCCCCGCGTCGTTAGTTTTCGCCACTAGAGAAACTATTGTATATCTCTTTTATGATTTCAAAGTTGACTTGAATTGAAAACTTTTACTCTCCTGTGAAGTATTCCAACATTAGCTTCTTAATTGATCCGGTCTTGATGTTGGTAATTAATTATTAGTAAAACCCTTTTATTCAAATCTGAAGTTAAATTCGCCATCAAGAGTGGGTAACTGTTTACTTGCTACATGTCAGATGCGATGAGAAGTAGGGATAAAGCTAAATATATTGCGGAGAAACAATTAAAGTATCTAGAAAGTCAAATAAAACACATTCCAGCCTCTTTCAAGGATTCGCCTTTAAAAGTAAATAAAAAATTTATAAAGCTATCAAAAGACGTGATAGTTTTTTTTATAATACGTAATATGATGTATTCATTAAAATGATACTGCTTTAGGCGGTAAGGATGCCTTTGTCAGATATTGGAAACAGTAAGGAGGAACTTATTCAAGGAAACACGACTGTTCAGCTTTCCCATACATCTGTTGTTAATCTTAAAAATGATTTTTTATTACCTCAAGATGTAGATTCTCCAATTTTCATCGGAAAAAGGAATGTTCCTCTAGGCAACCAATTTTTTAGAAAAAAAAAATTTAAAAAACTTAAAATTAGCTTGTTAGAGCAAAAATCTTATGGTAAACTCTTATCGCAATCTATTAAGAACACTGAGGATGGTCCAATAACTTCGCCGCTCTATACCACTTATCAAAGTGAAAAAGAAAAGGCTGTTAACGTTAACAAAAAATTAAAACACACAGAAAATAAAGTTGAAAATAATTTAACCCATATAACAGCTTACACTCAGATAAAACTTCCATGTTGGCAGAGAGAATTCCTTGAGAGCCCTGTTGCTCTTTCGAGTTTTAATTCAAAGGCAGCGATAACTCACTATTCCCCTTATAGTGGCTCAGTTACTTTTCCGCGTACTTCTCCTACCTGCATTCCACTTTCAAAATCGCGAAATTTTATTAAGGCTACTTATAATGGAACTCTTACTTCTTCTAGAATTGAAGGAGAATATAATAAACTTTTTACGTTTACTCCTAGAGGAGCTTTAATTAAAAGCAAAACTGATAAAACAAAGCAAGCTTTTAACGAAATCTCCCGCAAAAATTTTCAAACTTTTAAAAGAATGAAAACACTGTTAACTTCTCAGATAGTTGAAAGGCCTTTGAAGAAAATAACTTTAAGCAAGCCAGACAGGTTTGTAACAAAAATTGTACATTTAAGGAAGAAAGAAAACTTATTAACTTTAGTTTATTTCAATTAAAAAAAGTAACAACTGGACTTAAAACCGTTCAAACAAGCCTTCACACCAAAATTAAAAGGTAAATCCTCCGTAATAAAAAAATTATAATTACACAATAATTGCAAATAAAGAAAAGGATTGACCGAATCTTTTTTCAGTGCGTTAAAAAAAAGAGAAAATTTTTTAAATTTGAAGGAGGCACGTAAGGAACTAGTTGTACACAGAATTTTCTTATGATGCTTAGACTTATATATAACAGCTTCACTCCTCTTAAAGGTACTTAGTATTACTTTTGAATATGAATATGCAGTCGTTTCTGCTGCTTCCGCTTCTACGACCGTTCGGGTTCGAAAGTAAGATTATTATCTGTTTTTATCAACTATTTTACAAATATTATACTGGGGGAAAGCTCTTTCATTTTTATTGAGAAGGGACTGTTTGAGAAACTTAGCATCAAAGTTGACCAAAAATTAAGTTTGCAAAATATCTGGTGCCATTATATTTAAATAATTTAAAGTTTTTGAGTATTATGTAATTTTCGTACGATCGAAGAAGCAATTTTTATTAATTAACTAAACAGTTACAGATATTACATAGACTGTAAGGGTGGCAGCAATCCCGCGGTGTCATTGTTTTTCGTTAGGAGTAAATATGAATTACGTGTCTTGGAAGGATGATTGTGAATCACAAATCGGGAGATGCTCAGGATATATTAAACAACAGCTTACTGCTTGCGAGGTGCGCTAAGCCTCGAAATGGATTACGGACTTTAATTAATAACACTAAAGCTTAAAGTAATACAGTGAACTTCCTCTTAAATAAATCTGTTCTCCGAATTTTTTTTCCGAGTTTGTTTTAGTTGCTACTGTGAATTATTATTCAGCGGACGTTTACCACTCTACTAGTGGGGATTCATTATGTAAAATTATGATAATCTTTGAGCCTACCAAAAGATGAAGTTTAAAATTTTAAGTTTTTATTGGAAAAGGACTAGTTACTAAAGTTAAGTCAGCGAATTATTAGAGAAGCTAAGATACAATTTAAAGTAAATCAAACATAATCGAAATTATCATTCTGTAAATAAATTTTTACGCTTATATCGCTCAATAGATATTAGCCCCTAGAACTACAGATCGCGAGAAGTTACGTATTACTTACACAAACTTTACTCTTTTGTGAATGGTTTACTGGTAAATAGTTTGGCCTGTCGTTTCTAAAGTTATGTTTTACTACTTTCAGTTATATTTTAAACATATTAAGAAAATTAGTTATCGAACAGCATAAAAAAGACATTAACTTTAGTTTTTGACATGTGCAGAATTTTTTTTTAAATAACCGCAGCGTTTTAACCAGGAGAATGCAGATATAAACATCTTTACTGAATAGAGGCCTAATATACAAGCGAGTACCGCTCACATCTAACTATTGTCTATTAAAGCACAAGTGGGCTATAAAAAAAATTCTGCGCTTGCTGGTTTTTCGTGTGGTAATGTAGTCGCCATTCTTTTTGTTTTATTCAAATGAAGTTTTCTTATATTGACTTTATTTGTTGATCTGCAAAACATTCATTCGCATACTAACTACTTTGGCAATATTATACTCTGTACAGAATCCCAATTTCTTTTATCTCAAATTTTTTTAATCTGCCACAATTGGTTATATATAACTTTCAGTTAGGAAAAAGAAGCTTAAAATATTTGAAAAAATATATATAAAAAATATAAAAAATTGTTCATACCTAACTTTAAAAACTTGAATTATATAAATTAGGAATTCAGAGAACCTAATACTCTAAATTTGGTGAACTGTTCAAATTAATGATATCTTTTTTAGTTTGATTAACGACTTATTCCGTTGTACATAAATTTTTTCGGTTTATGCTTCATGAGTGAATACCCTAACCAAGTATGTATAATAGTACTATTTTTTTGTCAGTAATCTATTATTTACTGGATTGAACAATTTAATTACAGAGTTTTTGACTATATCAGTAATCCTTTCTTGTAATCTGGCACTCGTTCTTATTAACAAGGTAAAAAAAATTATCTAAAATTATTTCGTAGGGCTAAAAAAGTAAGAATGATTGGCTCAAATTACTCTAATAAACCCTAAGAAATACTATATATAGATACCACGGACGCTGTTTACAAATGTGCGTTGTTTTTAATTACCTCAATTCGGTAAGATTTAACGGTTTTTTGTTTAGATTTTCTTTCAAGACATGCTTCATAAAAAATATTTAAGTGGCTAAATTTTGGATAGTTAAATACGTTCTTTATTTTAAATTATGTGAAAAAGGAACTTATTAGTAATAATTAAAATTTTATACTATATATCTTCATAGCTAACTTCATACTAGCACCTCTTACTTTTGTTCTTTATTACAATTCAATCTTGCGTGAACCTTAAAAAAAATTACAAACTATTAGTTGCCTGCTTGTAAAAATCTCACCCTTCTTATAATTATCGGGCGTTTTGCCAAACGTTCATATAATTTTAATCTCCGCATAGGTCGTTCCTTTACTCGATTCACCATTTTTAAATTTTAATAACATAGTTACTATGAACGCTAATTTACCAGCATACTTAGTATTGAGAAAAACAATATTATGACAGATTTAGAAAGGTCTTATGGTATAATTATAAAGTTTTTCGTCTGCGTAATATCTTAAAATCAATAAATAGTATATTTTAACTGAGAAAAACTTATTTTATGCCATATTTTTAGGGAATTTTTTTTTTCTTCATAAACGTAAATATAAAGAGGGTTTGATAAAACTCTTCCGTGGTCCTTTTGCAGTCAGTAAAAAAAAAAAGAGAAAAAAAATGTCTTATAAAAAACTATTTTTTCTTTTCTTCTATTTTCTTCCTTTTGAACAGTATTCACAACCTCTGGTTTACTATGTAAGTGCAAAGTCCTATAGTAAGGGGATACAAGAAGGCCTTTTATATTTAAGTTTAAGAAAGATATCTTTTAGGCGTTATAGATTGAAAATGAAGAAATATTCAATTGGGAACAGTATTAAGATATGCGGTAGATAATATCCACAGTCCAGGTGAGGCAGTCTTTCAAGCTCATTAATACATGAAGACATTAACAATAAGGGCTTAGTGAGAGTTAAACAACACCACAAAATGCAAGTTTTGTATTACAAACTGATATTTAAAGAAATTGGAAACTTTCCAATACTTTATTTTTCGTTACATAAAAACTTATCTAGGGATGTTTTAATTTTAAAAACCATATATAAAAGTTAGACAAAAACTAAATTGAAAAATTTCCTTTACACTATAAGCTTAGGCAGCCAATCGCACACAGTTGAGAGGCTTAACTTTAGTTTTTTGTGAGAGAGTAGAAATATGCTTTTATTTTTTTTCGTAAAATATGAAACGATGCCAACTTCACATAAAAGTAACCATTAATTTTGTGACTCAATTATATATTAAAAAATTTTAAAAGTTATTCTAAAATATTTTTAAAACCAGTAATTTGGATTTTAGTAAGAATTTATAATACAAACTACCTGTTAAATAAAATGTAAGGCATAATAGAGAGCAAAAGGGGCATCATTAGAGTGCATCGTATCCAAAGAAATTTAGAATGGTTGTAGAGTTGTGGCTAGTGAGACATGGCGAGACGCTTTGGAACGCCGATAAAAGAATTCAAGGTTACGTTTTAGTTTTGCTGTAAAGTAAAGGGCCTGCCTTCATTCCTTAGCGAAGGCCAAAAGGACATATCTTTAAGTGAGAAAGGTCGCGGACAGGCTGTACTTTTAGCTAAGCGATTGAGCGCTCTCAAAAAAAATGGTAAAAAAATAATTAAAGTTTAGAAACCATCGAAGTAACATTAAAATTAGCATTTACTTGCTCTCGATATTTAAAGTAATTACAGTTTAGTTTACTAACTATTTGGCTAACAGTTTCTTTATCTGCTACTAATATTTTGTCTCTTACAAATTAAAATTTATATTTTGTTTTATTTAAAACTGATTTTTGGTAGAGGTCTAGCGTTTACCTTAATTTTGTTATTTTTCAGTTTTCTTTTCTTTAAATCTTATTTTTTACAATATTCTTACTAAAACTTTTAAAAAAGGACTTTTGTTTGATAAAATTTACTCTTCGGATCTTTGTCGTGCTTATGAAACAGCTTGCATTTGCTTTCCTCAAAGTTCCTTAACTGAGGATGAAGAGCTTAACTTATTTAATCCTGCAGGCAACTTCTATTTTCCTTAAAAAAAAAATTCAAATTTAAAACTTATATTAATAAAAAAAAAAGAACAAGAAATTTTAAAAGACCAACGATTGAGGGAATTAAACTTTGGTCAATTCGAGGGTATATTATCCCTCTTAAAAATTTTACTTCGAAAAAAAAAATTAATAATAGCACTTAGGGAAACTTTATCTTCAACTAAGCAAAAAGGAGCGTAAACAATTGCCACAATTATCATTAATGCCTTGCGAGGTACGAGCCCCTGACGGCGAATCTACTGAGGAATTTAAAGCAAGAGGTGGAAATTTCTTACTAGATAAATATATATAAAAAATAGAGTAACGATAAATTTTTCTCTTTTATTTTACTTTTTCTTTATACTGTGTTATATTTTTAGCAGATTATTTAACTTTCTAATAATATTATTTATCGAATATACTTTATGGTTCAAGAATTTAGTGGGCTTTATATTTTTTTTCCATTATATGTTTTTATAAAAATTAAATTTCCTGCAAGGAAGCTATATATATTTTAAAGTATATAAATTAATCTTCTAGGATCATTTATTAGTGGAGCACTCTTACTTTTAGTATTTTGCAAAATACATATAATTTAATAATTGGTATGCAATAAAAAAGTTTTACAGCAAAAAAAAAATTCGTGTGTTAAGAATTTTTGAAATGTATAAAAATTAGAAATTCAGCTGTATGACTCACAGTTTTAACTGACTCGTATATTTACTTTTTGATGTTGGCAATCTTTTCTGAATTGTTGTATAATTTAAAATATTTTTAGATTACGAGGAAATTAAAATACTTGAAATTTATTATGTTTAGCAGTTAGAATGGATCTTTTGCAGATTTATTATAGATTACTTTGGGAGTTCAATTTTATCTATAAAATTTTGAGTAACTTCTAAAATTAATTATTTACAGCGTTAGATTGGTTAAGGTCCCTTCCATCTCCCGGCCGTTTTATTGCATTTACGCACGGTGGATTTATAACTACTGTTCTTAACATTTTTATTGGCGGATCTCATAAAAATGCTTATAGTGATTCTTTTAATGGAAGTCACAATCTGAAGTAATTTATATAATTAATAAAAATTGTAAAAGGTTGTAAATTTTGTGCAATTCCTAGAAATTTACCAGCCTGGAGATTCAAAATCGACAACACTGGAATAACAAAAGTTCGCTTTTATATGGGCAGATATGCAGTTATAGAAACCCTCAACGATGTTTCTCATTTGGAACTTCTTGGAGATTAGTTTATTATTTGTAAATTTTAATTATATAATAAAGTTCTATATTTTTTTAAGTGAAAAATGAAGAATATTTATATGTATTGATTTGTGTTGAAATTGTAGAGTTCATCGAACGTAACATAAGTTGTGTGTTATACTTATGAAAAGTATATTACGAGACTTTTTCCTTACAAAACAACTAAATCACGCGTTTTTGTTTAGGTATTTGATAGAATTTAAGTGTATTTAGTATAAGAGAAGTGCAATTAAGTTAATAAAGGACTCCTAAATTAAGTAAAACCTTTTAATAATTAAATGTTACAGTCTTTTGTTTTCTTCTTGCGCACGTAATTTTGTTCTGCATTTTTATTTGTTTATTACAAATTGCAAGAACGATAAACCAGAAGAGAAAAGTTATTTTTTTAGATAACATTTAAGATGTTCTAAAAATGAATTAATTATAATATTCTTGAAGTCTTAGAAATTTGGTGTGTTTAGACATTGATAAATCTATAGTAAAACTATGAGTTGTAATTATACTTTTTTTTATGTACAATTAACAAAAAAATACCAAAAATAAAACTAAAAAATAAATGCGGTTAAGATCTTAAAAACTGTTTTAAGCTGTTCTTCGTTAATTTTATTGTTAGAAAAAAGTATATAAACGCTTTTTATATAATTATATAGTGATACTTCATTTTATCTTAGTATCGGCGGTTATTGAAAAAGATAACAAATTAATAGTGATGCCAAAAAGAGCTCATGAAGGGCGCGCGGATTAACACAAAAAGTGCGAGCGGGGAGAATCGAACTCCCGTTTAGACGGCCACAACGTCTTGTACTAACCACTATACGACGCCCGCAACACGGATTCTTTCCTCCAAAAGTATATAAATTTTATATTATAGACTTCAATATTACAGACTTTAATGTTATGCTGTGAAATAATTTTTTTTTTTTGTGTGGTAAAGGAAATATACATATATATAAAGGTTTTTTGGCTTGTTTTTGAGAACGGTTGAAGGAATTACGAAAGTTTTTAGGTAGGAAGGAGAAAGGTTGAAGAATGTCTTCGATATAAAGCGAATGAATGCTGTTCAAAGAGAAGACCTAGCAGGTTATTAGATGGAGGACGAAGAATATTTGGTTGCACTACTTAATCTTTTACGCCGTTGCGTTAATCTCTTGAAATGTTTACGTCTCACTTACCAGTCTTGACAGGTGGCGTAGTCTTTTATTAATTACATTAATCCAAACCTTTTAAAAGAAATGTTAACGTCGTCTTTGAGGATCCTTTTTATTAATTGAGAAACTTACATTACATTGAAGGAATATATGAAGCCGGTGTTTTCGGTAATAGGAAACTTTTTTCTAGCGCTGTCTTACCTTAATTCGTTGCTAAACTAAAAATAAGTTAAATATATTAATACACCCTAGTTTTAAGTCCGGCTGAGTAGTATTTCTGGTCTATATAAAATGTAGATGAGAAGCTCTTTAAAAAAGCAGGGACCTTCAAGATGGTATTTACTTGAATTCAATTTTCGAATAAATATTAAAACAATTTGGCAAGTAGTTTTGAAAAATCATGTACTTCACATACTTTACTTCAAAAGAAACTTAAATCTAAAAAATTTTTTAAACCACATTAAAATTTATTAACCTGAATTTTTTTTAAAAAAAAGAATAGTACTAGCTGTTTAATAACTTCTACTTTTTTTTTATAAAAACTCTTTACGCTTGCGTTTGGACTGTCTTTTCTCTACTATCATTCAGTGCTGAGAATCCTTCAAAAAGGATCAGCGCTTTTAATCTTTTTGATTCTTACGTTGTGAATTTATTTGAATCTGCAAACATTTATCTACACACGAAAGTTAATTACAAAAAAAAATTTTACCGCTGGAAAAATTGAAAGCTAACATTTTTTTAAAAATATCTAAACTTTTTTGAAAAATTTGACGCTAAATCTTTTTGTGGTTTAAAAGAAAAGAGAATTTTACAATTTCCTTGTATAAAGTAGTTATTAAGCTGTGAAGGGCTTTACATTAAATCTTTACTATGGGATGTCTTTTTTGTAATTAAGTACATATTAAATCAATCTTTCTCACCCCAACAGCAATAAGCTAGTAAAAAGAGTAGAAATGGGAGCAGATATAGAATTTACAAAACAACTCATCTTAAAATGGACTTCGTTGATAATTCTAAAAGGTGTTCTTCATGAAATATCTTCTATCTTTTCAGTAATTAAATAAGTTTTTTAAGATTTCTATTATGTACTTGAAAATTTAACAACGAATTTCTGGGTGGGCTCGATAAATGTCATCCTATAAAACTTTTATAAATACTGGAGAAGCACACGCAGAAAAGGTTTTATTCCACTAGAAATTCTTTTTCGAATTGGAAAAGAGGTACATCTGGTGGTTTAGAATTATTTATATACTTCAGAAATTTACGAATTCCACAATTTCGAAAGACCAACGAAAGCGAATTTTCTAGATGTGCACAAGTAAAAAAAAAAGGTCGATGCCGCTACGCACGAAGAGCAATACCCGCAGGGGTCACCTCTAACTCGTGCTCGCCGGCGTTTGAAATGTAATTAGTGGAACCTCCCCAATCATCTTCCCTTTTAGTATAATTTTAATTCATTATTTGCATTTCGTCTTCAATTATAATTTTAATTAAAAACCAATTCGGCATAAACTTGTCTTTTTTTAATAAGCTATAAAAAATAAAATGCAGAAAATTTTTAGATTCGCAATGCTGGTCGTCCGTAAGCAACGTGTAGTCCCCTTTAAATAAATACAAATAAGTAATTTATAAATTTTAAGCCAAAGGGCGTTTTAGAATTTTTTCAGATTAAAACTTATACGTACCGTTAGTATATCGGTTGAGCCAGAAATTAGATTTTTCTAAATCGAGTGAAGTAATAGAACAAACTAAAAAAGGCGTTACGCCCGAAAAAAGGTTCCAATAATAAAAAAATGTGTGGACCGAAATTTAAAAAAGATCGAGAGGAAAGGAAATCTTGAAAGTCGAGAATCGTCTTCACACAGAATTCTACTTTTTCCGAAATGAAAATGGGATCCGACATTTTAGATTTTTTCTCAATGCGGCGGATTAAAAATTTCTCGCGGCGCACACGGTTCGCAATTCGCGATTGACGAATTTCAAGTAAATAATTAATTCCCGAACGTTCACTCGTTAAAAAAGAAGTTAGCCGCTGCCGATCAGTAGATTCTAAAATTAATTTTCTTCGAAGATTTTCAAAAAACTCTAAAGCAGACAGGACTCGTGCGTAGTTGTCCAACTTTAAAAATTGCTAAAAAAAAAAAAAAAACTCATATAGAACTTAGATTTTAATCAAAAAAAAAGATTCAAGAAAGAATTAGAAAATTAACTTTTAGGAAAATACTTCTGCTCTCTACAAAATGGCTTCGAAGTAGATTTATATGATGTAGGCTTTAAATATAATAAAAAAAAAATTTTTTTTAAATAAATTAAATTAAAATGTTTTTTAATTTTTAATTGCTTTAAGTAAGGCGCGTTGATCCACTCCTCCAGGGTAACATGGTGGTTTTCTATAGGAAGTTCATAAGAAAGTGCGATCGGACAATCTTAAAAAATTATAAAATTAAAACTAAAATAATTTCTCTTTGAAGAGAAAGACGTGATAATTTATAATTAAAAATATTAACTTTTCTATTAAGGGCAAAACAAATCAAAATTATATTTATTAAAAAACAAAAAGAATTTAATTTCTCTTAGAAAAAATTAATTAAATTAAATTCTCTTTAAAAAAATAAATAATACAAAATAATTAAATTCTCTTTTAAAACAAAACGTACAATTTAATAATTAAATTAAAATTAAAATATTTTAATTCTCATTTAAAAGTAAATAAATATAATCTTTAAAAAAAGCAAATTATTTAAATACTCTTTTAAAGAAAAATGTCTAAAAATTTATAAAAAACAAAAAATAAATTTAATAATTATAAAATTATTATATCAATTGAAATAATCTTTTATAAGTGAAATAAATAAAATTAATGATCACCAATTTATAATTAATATAAAATTAAAAATATAAAATTCTCTTTTAATGAATATATTAATTAAAAGCAATAAGATCAAGTTAGTTAAATTCTCTTTTAAAAGAAAAAAATTGAGGTACTCATAAATTTATATTTTATATAAGATTAATAATTATAAAATAATTAATATAATTTAATTATCAAATAAAAATTTAAATTATTATAATTAATGATCAATTTATAAATATAAAATAAATTAATAAATTCGGTTTTATAGAAAATATATTAAACAAAAACATCAAAAAAAACTAAAATAATTAAATTCTTTTTAAACGAAAAATTAATATAATTAATAAATACAAAATTATAATTTTAAAATTTTAAAATAATAAAATTTTATTTTATAGGAAATATAAAAAAATCCTTTAAAACATTAAATTAAATAAATTCAGAAAATAGTATACGTTCTTGATTCTGAAGGTCGTCTGCGGTGCTCTTTCGATGCTTATAATGAAACCAGCCGCCTATTGATATTCTAATCATTTAAAGTAAATTAATTAATATTTGCTAAATAAGAGCAGTAAGAAAGAAAAAAACCTCGCTTTATCAGAAACAACCTCAGAAACCTGATGGAATGACTTTTTACTATAAAAAAGTATAAAGTAATTTAATTTAATTTAATTAATTAAAAAACTTTTACAACAAAGAAATCATTTGAAAAAAAATTAAATAAATTAATTTTTATTAAAAAATTTTAAAATGAAACAAATTTTTAACAAAGGAAAGTACCTCACCGCAAACAAAATCACGGAGTTTTTTTCCGGAACAATCCGCTTAACAACCTAAGAGATTGCAATTCTTAACTATAAAATTCTTTTAAAAATTTATAGATGAAGAAATTTAAAAATAACTTACAAATTTTAAAAAAAGAAGTCAATTAAAAAAAAATTATTTCTTGTTATATAAAATAATCAAACAAAAAGTTAATTAAACGTTAAAAAAATTAACTGAACAAGAAAATGTTAGAATAATTTATTTAATAAGAAAAAATTTTATAAATTTGCGATCCAAAATAATCTAAATAATAAAAGTAAACAAACAATGGTAAAAGATTTAAAAAATATATACATTCTGTGAAAAAAATAATCTAAAAAATAGAAAAATAGAAATTATAAAAAAAAATTATAATTGAAGAAAAGTTATAAAGAAGATTTAAAGAAAAAATTTAGATTTTTGTGAATCAAAATAATCTAAAGAAAAGTTAACTAAAAAAAATAATAGAAAAGTTAAAAAGAAATATTTTTATAGTAAAAATTAATCTAACAAAAAGTAAACTAAAAAATATTAAAAAAAAAAGAAAAGAGAAAACTTTTGCAAAAAATTAAGTCTACCAACAATCAAAAAAAAATTAAATTAAAAAAAATTCTTTTTTAAAGAACAGTAAAAAAATTATAACAATCGAAGATTATGAAAAGAATATATATACTTTGTGTAATTAGAAAAAATCTAACAAAAAGTAAGCAAAGAAAATAAAAAAATATATCGACAAAGGCTGTAATGATTTAAATAGAAAAAAATTTATAATTCTGTGAATCTAAATTGCCTAAACAAAAAGTACACAGAAATAATACTAAAAAAGATTTAAAAAAGATAATTACTTTTGCGAATTAGAATAATCCAAAATAAATAAACAAAATTATAAAGTAAAATATTTTTTATTTTTTAAAAAAGTAAACAAATAAAAATAATAAAAGTTTAAAAAAATATATATACTTTTTGTTGTACAAAATAAACAGTAAAAAGTAAATGAAAATTTTAAAAAAATACTTTTGTGCAATAAAATAATCTAAAAAGTATACCATATTTTTAGAGAAAGATTTAATAAAAATTTAAATTTTAGAGGTACAAAGTTATTATAAAAATAAAATTAAGAGAAAAAATTACTTTTTTTAAATTAAAGTAATCTAAAAATAAAGTAAACAAGAAATAATAATAAAAGAGTTTAAAAATGAAAAATTACTTTCTGTGAACCAACATAATTTTAAAAGTACACCAAATTTATAGAAAGGATTTAAAATAAACTTTTTAAGATAAAAAATTATAAAAGAAACTAACCAAAAATTATAGAAAAAATAAAAAAAAATAAATTTATTTTTTGTAAATCATTATTATAGAAAAGTAAACAAAAAATAATAGTAACAGAGTTCAAAAAAGGAAAAATAAAATTTCTTGTGGTAAAAATCTAAAATAATAAAGTAAAGAAAGTTATTATGATACTTGTATTAATAATATTAAAATTTTATTATTATTATTTACTTTTAAAAAAATCATTATTTTATTGTTTGGAAACTTATTATAATACTTATATAACTAAACCGAAAAAAGGCAAACAAAAATATTTATAAAAGTATTAAAAAGAAAAATAATAAACTTTTTGAAATCAGGATAATTAAACCAAAAAAAATTGTCTGGAAAAATCTAAAAAATATAGAAAAGAAAATGGAATCAAGTTAATCTTACAAAAAAAACTTAAAAAAATACATTTTGTGAAAAAATAATCTGTAGAAAACCTAAAAAAGATTTATATTGAAAAAAATATACTTTTTGAATCAAAATAATTTATAAAAATTAATTTGAAAAAATATAAAAAAAAATTCAAAAAAAGAAAACTTTTTTGGAATCAAAATAATCTAAAGAAAATAGAGTACAATTAGAGCTACAAAAAAATATACTGACAAAATTTAATATTTAAGTGGTAAAAATAAAGTACTTTCCATAATACAATACAAATAATCTGAAAATCTAAAAAAATTTAAAAATGCAAAAAAATAAATAAAGAATTAAAAGAAAATATTAAATTACATTTTCAGGAACATAAAGATCGCTACAACTAAAAAGCTCTAAAGCGCCGCCATCTTGGTCCGGCCAGGATTCAGGCACTTTGTATTTAGGAAAGTCTCAGAAAAGAAACAGCCTTCTCGAGCATTGAAAGCTTTTAAGTAAAAATTTTCTAAGGCGAATACCCAAATAAAAGATAAAGGCAATTGCTCGGCTTTCAAGTCGATCGTCGTGACAAAGAAGAAAATCTAGAACAAAATATTTATTAAATTAAATAAAATTAATGAAACGGTTAAAACATAAAAGGTAAAAAAATTAGTAGAAAAGTATAGAAAATAATTATTTAATTAAATTTATAAAACATATATAAACCGTAAAAAATTAGTGCAGAAGTATTAAAAAAGTTACTTAATTATATTTAAAAACATTTAAATTATATATAATAATAAAAAAATAGTACAAAAGTAAAAAAATATAATCAATAAAATGAAGTTATAAAATATTATGTACTAAAGAAATGGTAAAAAGTTAGTGCAAAAGTTAACAATATAATCAATAAAATAAATTTATAAAGAAGTTAGAACGGACGTATCAAAAAATACTTACTTAAAATAATTTTGATTAATTAAAACGTAAAAATGGTTATTTGTTAGTATAAAAATATAAAATTAAAAAAAAATACAGGTGTTAAAGTAAAAAAAAATTAAAAAAATTGCTCACCTTTATTTGTATATTTCGAAGAGAAAAGATCAATATAAGAATCATCTAATTCCAAATTAAACAATTCACTGGAAAAGGAGAGCAACTGATAATATAAAAATATTATAAGTAGTAGCGGTAACGAACTTCTTTGAAAGTTTAAAAAAATGTAAAACTTCGGAATATAATAAGCGACGAAGCCGTTTTATAGAAGGATGAGAGCAATGTTTTAAATCTGCAAAGAAATCGGAAAAAAAAAAAAGAACATAATTAACTTATAATAATGAAACCTTGACTTTGATAAAAACTAAATAAGTCACTGTTTTTATACGTGTGCGAAAGTTTCATTAATACTTGGTGAAGTTCGGTTAAAAAATCTTCAGAGTGAACCCAACAATTACGCAATATAACGTGAGGAAAGGGATTTGAAAAAAAGGTTTGTGAACCTGAAAAAGTAAAATTTATAAATAAAATAATAATACAAACAGTTTTACATAAAACAAAATGGAAAATTAAAAACTTTCATCCTGGTTCAATCCGCTAAGAATCTTTTTTCCTTGCTCTATAAAAGCAGGACAAAAAAAATCTGGATTAAAAATGTTTTTCTTATTTTTTAAACAAGTTTTAGTTTTTTTAGCTCTTCTGTTTATGACTTTTTTAGTGTGAGTATTTATTGTTAAGTTCTTTTGTTTTTTGCGAGTCATTAAAAAGTAATTTAAAATTTCCCCTCGCGTGTCAGGCTTAAAAACTTTTTTCTCTTGTATACGCTAACAAATAGTTTACTTTTATATGTTCACGAGATATTATTTAAATTTTAGTTTACTTATTTGTATGTAGAGAAAACAATTCGGAAGTAAAAAAATATTAATTAATCTAGAGTTGCTTTAAAACTTAAAGGGTACGGTACGCTAGTATTGATATTATTAATGTTATAATATTTTAATAAAATTGTAACAGTTTAATAGTCATCATGGTAATTCAGTTAGTAAGAATATGATTTTACAATGTCATAGTTTTGTTATTAATCTTTTGAACTGTATTCATAAAAAGTCTGTGAAGATTTACTCACTCTTAACTATTTTTTCTATAAAGTGTTACTGAAGATTTTATTAATAATTTAATATTTTTTCTATGCAAAAAAGTTAATCTTTTGGATTTCTCTCTCACTTAGAAAAAGTAGATTTACTCAATAAGATTGAAGTTAAAGCAATGAAGAAAGAGTTAAAAGTACTCTATGGCACTAAAGGTTGAAAAGGTATGAGATCTAAAGGAATTAATACATTTATTAGCTGGTATGCAAGAAGACAAAGATCACAAAGCTAAAGAATTTGTTAAAAAAAATTATAATGCAAGGTAGATTTTATTTTAAATAGGTAAAATTGAAAAGTCAATTGCCGACAAAACATTTTTTTAATCTAATTAGTTTCAAACTGCGAGTTAATTTAATAACAGTAAAGAGGAGTTTTTGTTTCTTTACCTTTATTATTAATATTATTTACGATCGCAGTTGCTTATCCCTGCGGTTTAAAATACTAATATTATTAAACTCAGGTTGTAAGTTGCAAAGTTTCTCAACGTTAATAAATACTTCTAGATTTTCAAAGTAATTATAGGGTTTACTTAGTAATAATTTAAATAATTTTTAACTTAACACTAAATAATAAAAGATCCATTTTCTTTAAGACTTGCTTTGCGTAACGCTGGAACTAAAAAACACAAAAAAACCAGAATGCCTTAGCGACAATAAAAATAATTTTTTCTTTACTTCTAGAAATTTACTATTTAATTTCAGATAGGGAAAGTGATATATTTCAATACTAAATAATATATATTTTCCGTAATGCACGCCAAGTTTAGATAATAATAGTATATTTTAAGATTCGTTTTGTGCAAAACTATATAAAACTTTTGACAGAGACAAAGGAGAAGAGCAATCAATTTAGCTGTTACTTTGTCAATCCGCTTAACCCTTTAACGGGCAAAACTCTGGGGCTTAAAATAGATTGTTTTACGTTCACTGGTAACTAAATTTACCACTTTCTTATATTTTGTTGGTTGCCGCTAATCCGTTAGAGCATGGTATTCAACTTATCAGATTGTTACAGAGGTCGAGCCTGCCGTTTGGGGTCAAGTTCCATGACCTACTCCAGCAAATTGAACCTAGGCGACAAGTGGTAAATATAGTAACCAGTAACCTATAAAGGGTTAATCCACTTCCCTCTACTTAACCGAGAGTGCGGAGTCACAACTTCCCTGACGATTCATTGCGCTGTTTACGAGAAGAGCAGTATACATTAACAGAAACATAATAGCGAAATAATAAACTATTACATGTTATAAAATAGTTAAATTTTAATGCAGGGTTATATTACTAAAATATATATTAAGTCAATATAGTAACTATAATCTTAGCCGAATCTTAGCCATACTCCCCCTTTTATAGAATCTAAGAAATGTTATGGCCGCGAGTACTAAATTCAAAGCCTCGTAGAAGAAGGGTATATATTCCTTCAGAAAATTTTTGACGATTATTGAAAAGCCAACGCTTAGCGGTCTCATAAGGACAACTCGTACTAATCTACTAGGCACGGCCCAGCAGAGACCAGCGAATAGGGGGTTTTTTCGAGGTATTTTAATATACTTAGAGGAAAGTATAGGAACATATGAACCAATATAAAAATATCTAAAAGATTATATAAAAATAAATGATATAGAAATAAAATTAAAAAAAAAAATAAAGAGAGAAATAGAGATAATTAATTTTACCGATGCCGTTCTTGTTTACTCTTTTAAGGTTAATATCTCATTAATTAATATCTAAAATATTTAGATTGGTTCATAAATCATTGTTTATGATATTGAATAGATAATCTATTTAATAAAATGCTTTGAATTTTATTAATTTAAAACCTTGTTATACTTTATGTATATGCAAGGGCTAATTGTAATTTGTACGTTTTTTTTTTCATTTTCGCTTTGGGTGCGACGCTTTTCAGAAGTCTTTAAATATTTATCGAAAATATCATTACTGTGTTTGTAAGTCTTAAATAACTCCATATATATATCTCAAACTCTATACTACCAACTATACTATATACTATATGACTTAAAACTTTAAGATATGTATATTAGTTTTGAGGTTAGTAAAGTGAACGTGCAGTAGAACTAGCTGGTTAGTATCGCATATGGTAGTTTGTTTGGTTCTACTATAGTAAACCTCTAGCATCTTTCCTATTTGTTCTTCATATCCATGTTAGACTTATCGATAGCTAAAAACCTCAATACTACCTTGCTCATTTGGGTACAGTGAAAAAGAGTAAATATTATAAAAAGTATTATTATAAAATAAAATAAATTAACTGAAGAAAAATTAAATTTTAAGTATTTATTATAATAAACAACAATAAAAAAATAAATGAAGAAAGTCATCTTATTTTCCCCAGAGATGCAAGCAAAAAGTAAGCGGAATAACTTGGCGGTCTCCTATTGTACTAGCAAGTCTTTTCCCACCAAGTTAAACAATAGCAAGGAAGTAAATTAGTTGAAAACAGCTCTAGCATAAAGTTATTTTATAATTAGCCCTATTATTATATCTTAGTTTTAATAGAGTTATTCCCTTTGCAAATATTATAAACTATTTTTATAAAGATCACTCAAGATGGCTCTACCATAACTATTAAAATTCGATAATTAGAAGTATTCTACTTTTGTCGTGCTTTTGAGAAGCAACTTTTAAAAGACTATACTGAATTCAATTAAAAAATCGCATAATTATTTATAAAATTATTTATATTAGTTTAACCAATACTATCATAAAAGTTCAGTAATAATTAGTAGTTATGCTTGTTTTGCACTTTTAGGTTGTACATTTTTAATTTGTAAATTATTCAGGAACTATTTTATTTAAAAAAACAAAGAGTCCAATTATTTATAAAACACTTTAAACGGCCTTATCTTACTATTAAAAATTCGGTAATATTAAATAAAAAATTTACTTGTGGCCGAGTTTCCACAAAAATTCAGTTTGAAACTGTAAATCTCTTCAAAGAAAGTATTGGGTCATAAAACATGGAGTATATTGTCAAACTAAATAATAATGTTCTTACACCTATATAGCCTACAGAGGCAATAAATATGGAGTTATTTAAAGACAAGGAATCTGTCTCTAAACTCATTTATGAGGCTATTAGGAAAGAAATTAAGAACGAAACTAAACCTATCCAGGAAAAACTGGGAAACCCCCAAAACTCATACTAGGCCTGCGATAGCTAATAATAAAAATAGTAGAACAATTCCGCAAAAACAGGCAAGAGCCTCTAATGACACTAGTAAGTTATCTTAAGGCGGTCGATAACAGTCGGGGTTAGTCATCGTCTTTTAAGAGAATGCACCCGGCGAATAGTAGGTACAGACCATAAACCTCTAGTAATTACTATAAACCGACAGTAGCAGAAAAATGTCCGTCATCTTTCCTGAAACTTCCCGAAGCAAAGAAGCTCCTGGAAAAATTCAAGATGTTAGAAGAAACCGGCCACACCACTTCTCAATAGAAAAACAGAATATCAAAACATCAATGGAAGGACTCCTCGTCATCGAGACCAAAATGCAATTTTGGAGTTATTTCAAACTAATTTTTTATAATTAAAAATGACCCAATCATTACTCTTAAAAGATGGGTAGTTTTCTTTTCTTGTTGGTAGTGCTTTTAGAACGCAAACTTCCAAAAAAGGTAAATATCTTTACAGGCTACTTAGTAAAAATTAAGCCTATACGTTGAATTTTTTTGAGACTTGATTTTAAATTCATAAAATCTCTAAAGTTAGAAAGATACACTAAACCTTTTTTGGTGCATATTCCCAATGAAATCTAGCAGTTTATAATACTAAAAAATGAAGTGAAGGCACTGACTATACACTTTTCTATACAAACGTAGAGGTTTTCAATAAGATTAATTAATTCTTCGAAAAGAGAGAATTATTTATACAAAAAAAAAATTTTTTTAACTTTTTTTCGAAAATACATTATATAATTAAATTTATTTTAAAAATAAATATTTAAAACAAGGCCGAATTGAACAGCACGACAAGAAGCAATGCTAAAAATATTCCGCTAATTTTAAATCTCGTGTGCGCTAATCCATTGGGCCCACTGTGAATGGGGGAGGTCCACTAACAATCCGAAAAACCACTATTTACCGCTAAGAAAGAACCGTAGATCGTGGCATCAAGTACTTCAGCTCATCATCTTTGGAGAGCCAGTCAAGCATTTTTTCTTTGTCGGCACGCAATTCTCGAAAAAAAAGTTTCACCCAATTTGGCCTGCAAAAAAAGGCGCCTGAAAATTTTAATTAAATAAAAATTACCTGCAAATTTTTAAAAGTAAATGCAAATTGCATATTTACTTGGAACGGCATCAATTGTTTCTTCGAGTACTTTAATGCCTGTCGAGTCGACTGGTAACAATTTTGATTCTGCGAGATAGACAGCATTAAAAAATATTAGATTTAAAAATTATATTTTTTTAAAAAGTGCCTTTTTCCAGATTCTCGAGCAGCTCAACTTCCTCATCTTGCAAATTTCCGTGGAGGGATTTGTAGAAAAGCTCAATTAAACAAATGCACTGCTCGCTTAGAGGACCGTAGCACGTGGAGCAGAGAAAATTTAAAAATGCACGAATCACTCGGCCGGACTCCTGTCTCGGATGCAGCCAATAGCTGATAAAAAGGAAAAACTTTTAATTAACGAAATAAAAAATTCTTTGTTATAAAATTTTATACTTTACAAGATCTGAATATGAAATTCGTAAGGTTTCATTAGCTTGTCTAGACTTTCTGATGCCGTCAAATAAGGCGCCGTAATCAAAAGGAGGTATCTTATGAAAAGTAATTTATAATTTAAAGTATAATCAAAAGAAAAAAAAAACGTTAGAGGTCGGAATGACTTTGACATTGGAAATCACAAAATAACGATCGCCTAAAAAAAATAATTCAAAAAAGTATTAATTTGCTCTCAAAATCAAAAACCGTCGTAATCGGCGTGAGAGAGATGCATGCAGGGCGGCGTAGTACCAACCACAGGAAAGACCACGCAGTTATCCAATAAGCTAAAGCGATCCGCTAACGCACTATCGCTGCACGGAAGAGCATCGTAGATCTGAAGATCGCCGGGATGGAAAATAGGAGATTTAAAGACACACACTGGACCGCTCTAGATCGAAAAGATAGAATCACAATCCATTAAAAAAAATTTTAAACCAAAAAAATTTTAGCGCTGAAAACAAAATTGAAAAAATTAAAAACCAAAAAAAAGCAGTCCTCGCCATTGCTGATTTTTACTATGCACTGTCCCTCCCGCAAAAGAGGCTGCTGGTCATCTCTTTTTCAAATCAATTAAAAAATTAATTAAAAATAAAAATTAATTAAAAAAAGAAACTTGATGGGCTCGGGAATACCAAAAAGATTCCACGATAAAGGTAACTAAAAAAAATTTAAAAAAAGATTGATTAGTTTAGAGAATTTACTTCAAGATTTCTTTATAAAAAAATAAATCACATCAAAAAAAAGGGAAACGAACTTGAAAGGAAGGCTTCCTAAACTTCATGAAGGTCATCTGTAAAGAAGTCAATTAAAAAGCACACCACACGTGCATTCCCGCAAAGCGCAACCCCCGAGGGAAAGCCTGTGCATGTATTGCTATTGGCTAGTACTCGCTTTAGAACGCTGATGCAGTCGCCCGCGCTATTGGCCTTGTGATATTCTTCGATTAGTCGCGCGGGAGAGACTCCTCTGTCTGATTAATTTAGATTAATTATAATTTCTTTTCTTTATTAAATAATTAAATATATAAATTATAAAATTGTTATAAATAAATTATAAAATTATTATAGTAAAGATTTCCAACCAAAATTGTTATAAACAGGTTATAAATTTATTCTAGCAAAGATTCCCGGGTCAGAATTGTTATAAATAATTATTAAAATATCTTATTGAAGAATCCCTAAATGAAAATGTTATAAAGAGGCAAACGCTTTACATATTAGCAACTCGAGAGGAGCCTTCGAGAGCGCCGGACGGTGGACAGGTCGGGAGGAGGTATCTAAGATGCCGAGATAACTGAATCTGTTACAAATCAATTTAATTATATATAAATTTGCACTGCAGAAAAATAATTACTAACTTGCCTTTTCCCTTGAGAATCGACAAGAAGAGAAGAAACGGAAGAATGTAGTTTTATCATAGATTCTCTAAGAAGAATCTATTTATAAAAAAAAAAATTAAAAAAAATTAAAAAAAGAAAAATAAAAGTACCTTTCGGCCTTGAAGTTGTGGATCCACTATCAAAAGTCCTTTAGTACATTTATAACGGATTTGAAATATAGATGGGGTTCTACGCTGTGTATAAAAAATTTCAAAAGGTGCAAAAAGATTAAATAATAAAATCGCTGCAGTATAAAACAAATAAAAAAAAAGAAAGAAGAGAGCAATTAAATAAATTCTACGCTGCAAAATAATTATAAGAAATATTTTCTTAAAAAGCTGCACAATCCATAGAAATCAGGAACAAAGATGAAGTAACTATAAAAAATTTACAAAGCCAAGCATATGGTTAATTTCCTCCGCTAACGAAGGAGAGAGAAATCCGCTTCCGTCTGTGAAGCTCATCCCTAAAAAAACTAGTTGCTTAAAAAAAAATTAAAAAGCAGAAAGAAAACCTTTTTCGCATAAAAGATCAGGAATGATCTCCACTTCATCATCAAATATTCGTACAAAAGTCTATGAAAACACGAGTTGATGCAAAAATTGACTAAAAGTGGAGCATCGCAGAAGTAAAAAATTTAAAATTTAAAATTTAAAATTAATTTCGTAATTAAAAAACTTTGCAAGACGTGAAAAAAGACGCCGTTCTTTTAAATAGCTCAGAAACGGAATGGCAATCTTCAAAACTAGCCAATGCGGGAAGCACGTTTGTCCATATGACCTCCTGCGAGGCTATTGTGCCGCAGGAAAATAAAAAGAACATGTTACGCTTTAAATAAATTTTTTTTAACTGTACATACGAATTGGAAATTTAGATGCCAAAGATTATAATTACGGCTCTATCGTAGAGCTGCTTTGTGGAAATTTATAATAAAAACTCTTTACCTTTATAAAAAAAACACGTTCTTCCTGCATTAAAAGAGCGCCTGACCGAGCTAAAAGTGTGTCCGATAAAATTGTAGACGTCATCTCCAATCTTTTGAAACAAAAATAATTGTAAGTATACTCGATTAAAATATATAAATATAAAAAAGACAAAAAAAACTTTTAATCCATGCGTGAAAATGGATAAAAATTTAAAAGAACATGCCCAATTTTCGTCGTATTCAAATACAACTATTTCAATACAAAAGAATCGTAATTAATTTCTGCTAAGCAAAAAAAATTTTAAAAGAAATTAATTTTGCCTTGAAGAAAATTATCGACGTTGAGGATTTTCGTAGCAAGACAAGGGAGAAACGGCACAAGAGTGAAGGACAACTAGCGAAAAACGGCGCTGAAGATTTGATTACAACCCTTTAAAAAAAATACCACCTGCGTGGATCCTCTTAAGTGAATCCGCTTTATAAAAGAGCCTTCGCAGCCTCCCTCTTCCCGCTTAGCCAGCGGAATCAAGACGGGGACGGGTTGAGAAGCTACAGGATCTGCCGTTCGAGGCCAAAAAATTTTTTCTTCGTGTAGAACGAATTAATTTAAAGTAAAAATAAAATACAAAAAAGAAATAATTAGATTTAAAAAATTATATTCTGAGTATACACTAACGCTTATTGTAAAAATCTATAAATAGATTAGTTAGTCTCTTTCTGAAAAAATTATTTAAATAAAATGCAGTCACAATCAACTTTCAAAATGACCGCAACAATATAAATTCACAAATTTTTTTAAAAAAAAATACGCTTCGTAAAGTCTTGCAACAGTCGATACACGCGCTGATTATTCCTTCAAAGTTTATAACTTTACTTTATTTTTAGGTAGCAAAATTATAATTGAGGCAAAAAAAAATTTTCTAAAAGCCGTGAAACTAACTTATTTACCTCAACAAAACAATCGAACTTAACAAGAATTAAAATAAAAATTTGAAGAATTATCAATAAAAAAAAACAAATCACCTGATACCTTTCTTTAAGTTTTGCTTTTCCTTTAGTAAAGCCCAAAGAAGGTCAAGCTTTCCAAGATGAGTGCAAAGAGTAATCCCAGATTCTAGTAAATCTATGCGTTTTTTAATTTCTACAGTTTCCTTATATTCTATTAGCATAAAAAGTTTAAAAAACATCAAAAGTTTGCGTTAAACAGATATTTCTATACTCACCCTCAGCTAAATATAAAAAGCTGCTTAGTTATTTTATATAATATATAAATATCTTTTATTATATACCAGATGGACTTTCGAAATGCTTAGCACACAAAGTCCAAGCCTTCTCCCATTCTTTTTTTATAATAAAATCTTTAACTAATTCATTTAAGCTCTTTTGTGGAGTAAAACTAACAGCTATGAAGTCTGTTTAATTTTCCATACATTGTATAAATTAAAGCACTATTAAACTACATACAAGTAGAAGAAGAGAGAACGAGCTGTTTCAAAAATTTAGCTTTCAAAGTAGGTGAGATTTTTTCGTACTACATAAATTTTTATATTTATTAATAAAAGTATACGATTAACAAAAAATAGAAAAACCAAAGATAAATTTTTTTTTAAATATCGTTCAGAGAAAGTGCCAAGGCATGAACACCGAGAGGATAACATAAAGAACAATTGCAACACAATCAATCCACTTTTTTATGTAAACAAACAAGTTCCTTAACTCAAGCTTTTATTTATTCACTATCCAAATAGGTCTACTCGTGTAATAGCATTACCCCCACCTATTAAAAAAAAAGTTTTTATTTGTATTTCCTTTAAACAAACAAAAAATTAAACTTAAATGAGTACTTGTAGCACCTTCAAAGTAATACTTTCTTTTTGAATTTTTTTTTAAAGTAATTTTTGATTAAAAAATATGAGATGGTATTTCAAACCATGAAATATTGGAGCCTTCACATAATAAGCTCCTGCCCTTACTAAAAAAATTAATAATTGTAACGAAATTTATAATATTTTGTGCTTGATTTTTGTGAAAGCCTAAATTTTAAAAAGAAATACAGTTCTTAAAAAAGAGTGGACCCGTCATCCTATGATTTCCTGCATCTTCTCATAATTTAACTATTCTATTTAAATAATTGGGGCGGTTAAGACAAAGAAAAACTTAGTCCAAAAATTCATTTTCAATAAAAAAAATTACTACTACAGAGTTTCTATATACAAACAAAAAATCACTGTCTAGATTAACTAATAAAAAGCTCCTTATAGGATGTCCATATCATTCCTATTTATAACTCAGTTAAACTGTGCTAACCATTTTAAGTTTATCGCTCTCAGTAAATAAACCCACATGCCAAAATACACAGAAAGCAAGTATATGTCTTTGTTTTGTTCGGAAAACTACAAAGTTTCATGTATACATGTAGAAGATGAGCGATCTTCCTGAGGAAATAGAAAGAGCACTACAAGCGTTTGACGATTCAGTCTCTAATATTCAAAGTACTTTACAGCCGCTTTTGAAAGCCAATTACTCAGAACTTTTAGTTATTTTATATCATTGTTTACCTGTTAAGCATATAATCTTATTATATTAAGACAAAATTAGATGCGCCTCAGCGAGCTCGCTTTGACTTACTGTTAGCGTACACCGTTTCCAGTTTATTTTGGATGTATTTAACCGCTTCCGGAGTTGCGCCACAGTCCCATCCAGTGAAACAAGAACTTGTACATTCTAATATAAATTTTTAACTAATAACCTTTAGGTTTGATCTTTTTAGGAAAGAATTAAAGAATACATGGGAAAATTAAAAAAAGCTATTGAAGAAAAAGAACTTAAAAAGAATTTTCAAATAAATGTTCCTGCTACTCAAAGAATGTTAAGAAACGCTTTATGGGCACCATCTAGCACCGAAAACTTAGGTATTTCTTACTTTGTATAACTTTTTTTTTACTACTTTATATTTCCTTAATTTTATGTGAATTTTATGAGAAGTGTACTTTCAAATGACCCTAAAGAAATATACTTTATTATAAACTTTACTTAGAATTTAGAAAATAAAATAAATTTATTATTTCTATAATTACTTTTATAGCTTTTTCAACTTTAATTGTAAACTACACAACTTCAGCTGCTTAAATTTAATTTTAATTATTTAATTTTGAATTCAGTTTATATATCTTAGCGCTTACTTTATTTTAATTCATCTTCGCAATTAAAAGATTTTTTCTTTAGTTTCCTTTCAGTCTTTTTAAATTTATAACTTTTTTTTATTTACGAAATTTTAATTTAAGCTGAAAAAATCAAGCATTTTATAAGTGTGAGCAACAGTGGCGTCTAAATTCTAACTTTTAATCTTTTATTATCCTTTTTGTACTTGTTATGTCTTTTATGCTTCATTTAAATTAATTAATTATTTTTGTTCAATTAGAGAAGCCGAGGGAACCGAAAGAAGCAAGTCATAGTTTCTTAACTGAAAAAAATAAAAAGGAGGAGCCCCTTCTTAAAAAGCGTGTAACAGCAAGTACAAAATCTGAAAAACCAATAAAAAAAGCAAAAAGCAAAAAGGAAAAAGGAAAAGGAGAAATAAATGCCTGATTTTTTCAAATTTTTGTTAGATTTTTATATTTACTAACAATCTCTTTGTGCTATGAATTCTCCAACATAAAAAGATATAATTAATTATTTTAAAAAAATATTTAAGGATTCGAGCCTTTCCAGTAAAAAGTTTTCATCAAGTTTATATAAAGTCTAACCTCTTCTCGAGTTTTATATATTGATATATCATTTTTCTGTGATAAAATTTCCAATTTTGTTTTAAAACTGTTTACTACCAGCTAATTTATAACCCTTTTAGTCAAATGGGTTGACTCGCTTCTAACGATTTAAGCTTCCAATTAACCTTTTATTATATTTATATTTATGGTGCTTAACTTTAGCTTAAATAAAGTTTTTCAAACACTTACTTTCTCATTATAAGAACTCACCAAAAGCGAAAACTTTCTAGTTGCTTACGTACCAGCACTTTAAAGCAAGATCTGAAAGCATAGATTGCTATTATAATAGTTAGCAATAGAACAAATAAAAAAAATAGAACGAGTATTGAACATATATAAACTCGTCATTAAACCAAAATTCGAGATTTAATGGCCCCATTGGTAAATAAATAAGATAATATAATAAAAATTATCAACAAGCAATTATGCGTTGTTAAAAGGAAAGGATTAGAGTAAGGTTCCACCCGAAAGAATTTTTTTCTATTTAATATTTTCTTTGCTAAAATTCCTTATCGTTCTTACAAGGTAACTCCCAAAATGTAGAAAAAACATATATAAAGCTTAAACCAATTAACTGGAATGACAGTATAGAAGGGAGGAGAAGCAATAGTTGATTAATTTCTATCTGTGGTTAAGTATTTGTATCTTTTATTTGAGCTATCCCCGGAGGTTAAAGACTTGGAGGCTTTTTAAGGCACTGATACCTTACGTTGCTTACTGTGAAGTCTAGTTAATTGTATAAGAAACTTTAAGGTGAATTTAACTATAATGGTGAGACTTAGATATAACGATTGATATACATCGAAATAGAAAATAGAGATTTTGTAAATTTTTATAAAATTATATACAAATTGACAACGAGATTATAATCCTACATGAGGGTCCTCATATTTAATGGGTTTCCTCGGACACTATTCAACTTGTACAATGCCTTCAGAGGAAAGTAAGATATATAACTAAAATTAAATATATTATTTTAAAGTCAATAGGATAGAGCTTGATTGTCTTCTAGGGCGAAGATTCGAAAAAAAAGGATTAAAACTGTTTGAAAAAGATACACTATAAAGAAAAAATATGATATAATACTGCGAAATTATGAGCCCCTACCATATTTTTAGCTAAACAACAATTAACAAACGTTTCAACTTTTAAAAAAAAGACATAGTTTAAAGAAAAGCCTCAAAATACACTTATTTAAAGAGTCAGCAAAATTTAACTCATGTGAGTTTGTGGTCATATATTTTCTTCTGTATTCCCTTTGGCAAGTATTAGTTTCATGTACAAAGATAGTGAGAGGTTATTACTAGTTTGTTTTCATTAGACTATGTATCTTTGTTATTGTTATAATGCGTACATGTAATGTTTTGTTCTACCTTCCATCCAGTTTTCTAAATATCATTATTGAGCCTCCTGGTAGGATGGAAACGAGGAGATAAAATTAACATTTTTGTTGTTGGTTACTAAAAATGGTTTAGAGGTAAGTAAAACCCGAAAGATGTAGGACTCGAAATTTTACTCAGTTATATAATTTTTATAGGCATTGATATCAGTTGGCTTCAAAATGAGTGACACTAATCCAACAACTAATATATCGCCTAAACTATAGCCGAAAACTATACAATGTCTACAATGGAACAGGATTTTTTCAATATAGAACCAGCCTACCTATATAACTAATAACGCGAGCCTGCTCCACAAAGTGACCGTTATGATTATACTGAAACTAATTATTAAAATAAGAATTTACTGGCAACAGACTTAATAGATTCCTGTTTGTAAACACCTATGATTCAATTATTATCACTAATGTGACTAGACTTTTTAAAGAGAGCAGCATGCTTTCTACTGATAAAAAATGGAGGAAGGGGTCAAGACTAAGGTCGAACATCATAACTCTGTATTTTAAAAAATAAGTATTGTACTCAATGAGTTTAGTGCTGCTGAAAGACTAAATTTAGAAAAATAAAATTTAGTGGGTCATAGTCAGTGTGGGGGAAGGAAAAAAAAATTAAAAGAACCTTTGAGGTTACTATCTGTAGTAGAAAAGAAAGTATTTTACTAAATTTAATACGTTATTAAGGCTCTTATCCCTGGAACCTTCTTTATAGAAACTCTGTGGAAAGCTTTTAATCCCATATGTTTAAAACGAACTTATTTAATGGCCTTGTCCTCCTATGCGGTTTTCAAAAGGCTTTTATCAAAACAACTAATTTATCCTTGTATCTTATAAGCAGAATTTAAAGAAATACGTTACAAAGCTGACAAACACACAAAAATAATTAATGTTATATAATTTTTTAATAGTAGAATTATAGTGATTAGTAGTATAATCGTCCTTCTAATATTCTAGAATACAATAACTATGACATAACCTTGTTGTAAATGATTATTGCATTCTTATCTGTTTATTTTAATCTATAAAAATTTATTTTATCTTAATAACCTACGAAATTTTTTGCTGTCTTAATAACTCTGTTCTCTTAATAGAAATTGTGTTAAATTTAATTATAAACCCTTATAATCACCAATACGGTAAAAGTATATACTTCGGCCTTATAATTTATAGTACAAAGGTATAACGCAGAAATGATAAATTAAAGGAGGAATGTAAACTTCGTTAAAATAAATTTGTAAAAATCTTAATTTTCACTAATTAATAGCCCAAATTAACCCGCGTAACTGTGAAACTAATAAATTGCTTAAAGTAGTAAACCAATTGAACTCGGTTTATTCTGATAAGAAAATTATAAGGAGGAGTTAGCCTAAATAATTTTTCTAGCTATTTCCTTAAATTGTAGAATTTTTTATGTCAGAAAACTTAATTTAACTTATTATTTTAAACGTGGCTTATTAACGCGTAACAAAAATTTATACTCTAATTCAGTATAATATTACAGAGTTTTAACATTCATATTTTGATGTAAATAATAAAGTAAAATAAAATTTATTGACTACTTACAAACCTACTTTAAAAATATATAATCTTTACAAGGTTACAGGAATTATATTATTTTTAAAGAAAAATTATCGCCATCCTTTGCAGGAAAATCTTTTTACTGGTAGGCTTTCTCGGTGGTTTTTTTAACATATTCATTTGCAAACACAGCGAGAAAGACGGTAAGTAGAATTTTTACTTGCCATTATATAGTCCAGAACTTTATTTTTCTTTGTTAAAAAATTAATTATTTTTCCGAAAGCCCTATTATACTTATTTTTGCTAGTGTTTGAAGCTAACTGGTCTAAGAAATCGATAATTATGGAAACATCCATTAAAGACCAGCTTAAGTATTAACACGTCATGAGAGTTTTTAAAAATGTTAATTTTACATGTTTGAAAGTTCGCAAGTAACGTATTATAAAAAGTCAACGCACTTAATATAGCTTACAACTTAAATTTACATTATAGACTTTTATGTACTATAACTTAAGTTAAATGAAGAAGTGAGCACGCTGCAATCATTTATTTTATTGTTTCAACTCATTCCAGAGGCACGCACGCTACAAACAAATAAAAAAAACTTGCGGTAGCGGATTTATTGTGGTGTAGGCGTTTACAGAACTCCAAGCACCATAATACATAATACCTTCAAGGTTATAAAAAAAAATTGGTATACTAATGACTCTCTTTAATGAGCTACTTTACTGAGCGAAATATATACTTCATCCATTAACGCTTGATTTGTGGTGGGTTCTAATAAAAGTTTCAAGCGCGTTCTGCTTATGTAAGGTTACCTTTTCTTAATTCGCATTTCCTTTTAATAAAGTACAGTATTAATGTCTATATAAAGTAAAAAATAGCAATAATGTATTTATATAAATTATAAAATTTTTAATATATTAAAGTTAATAAGTGAATAAGCTATGCACTAAAAAATTACACAGTGAATAAAGATTGAATAACAAATGAGGGGGTAAATATATTAAGTCTCCCAAAAGTATTGAGATGGCGGCACAGCTCTTGGTTTTTAAACTTTTTTTTTTATAGCACTAGCTTACTACAGGCATAATTTAAAATCAAATGCTGCTTGATTTACTTTACCTCTATTAATTGAGGGTACGGACGCTTTTCCTTAACATATCATAACTCCAGTAACTATAACGAATGCGCTTTGTAATTAGAGCTAAGTAGTATACTTATGAAGACGTAATAGCATAATAAGAGTAATGTTACATTTATTTGAATAGTTAAGTTTTAATAAAGTTATATTATGAAAATAGATATTGAGTTTATATGAAATAAACTATAATCTTAGCGATATTCCCCCTCCAATAGGTCTATACTATTAAGATTAAACTCTGCAGGTCGTTAATACCATATAATGGAAGAAATATGCGTTTGCCTGCCCAAACTTTTGCTTTGTTATTTAAAGAATCAGTCAACGTAGGACATGAACCCACGCGTTCAATAATATCTTTGCACAAAGAAATACTTGAGACAAAACTATTAATTTCTTTTGAGAAATAAGATATCTAGTTATAGTAGTCCCCCTCCTCCGCATTATCATGGTTATCAAGTTTACCTACTAAAGGTCTTAAATCGTCTAGAAGGATTAATATATCAAGAGTTCGACGGAAAAAATTTATGCTTTTAATTTTACGATTATCCACTGACGTATTAAGGAGCATGTAAGCATAAGTGAAAGGCATTTCTTTGCACATGAAAATTTTAGAAGTTTGTTAACCACCACCCCCCTACAATGCCAGATTAAGCAATTAAAATGAGTTAAGTGACTTCAAAGCGCTTTAAATATTAAAATCT